ATGGGTTCACAGCCGAACTCTACCAGACATACAAAGAGGAGCTGATACCACTCCTTCTGAAACTATTCCAAACAATACAAAGAGGAAATCCTTCCCAAATCATTTTATGAGACCAATATCATCCTGATATCAAAAGCCAGCAAAGACTAAGCAAGAAAAGAAAACTTCAGGCCAATATCCATGATGAACATAAATGCAAAAATCTTCAATAAAATACTGGCAAGCTGACTGCAACAGCACATCAAAAAACTTATCCACCATTATCAAGTAGGATTCATCCCGGGGATGCAAGGCTGGTTCAACATATGCAAGTCTAGAAACATAATTCACCATATAAACAGAACCAAAGACAAAAACCACATGACTATCTCAACTGATGCAAGAAGGCCTTTGACAAAATTCAACAGCCCTTTATGCTAAAAAAAACCTCAATAAACTAGGTATTGACGAATGTATCTCAAAATAATAAAAGCTATTTATGACAAATCAACAGCCAATATCATAGTGAATGGGCAAAAACTGGAAGCATTCCCTTTGAAATCTGGCTCTAGGCAAGGATGCCCTCTCTCACCACTCCTATTCAATATACTATTGGAAGTTCTAGCCAGAGCAATCAGGCAAGAAAAAGAAATAAAGGGTATTCAAATAGGAAAGGAGGAAGCCAAATTGTCTCTATTTGCAGACGACATGATTGTATATCTAGAAGACCCCATCATTTCAGCCCAAAATCTCCTGAAACTGATAAGCAACTTCAACAAAGTCTCAGGATATAAAATCAATGTGCAAAAATCAGAAGCATTCCTATACACCAATAACAGACTTAGAGCCAAATCAAGAATGAACTGCCATTCACAACTGCTACAAAGAGAATAAAATACCTAGGAATACAACTAACAAGGAACAGAAAGGGCGTCTTCAAGGAGAACTACAAAACTGCTCAATGAAATAAGAAAGGACACAAACAGATGGAGAAACATTTCATGTTTATGGTTAGGAAGAATCAATATCATGAAAATGGCCATACTGCCCAAAGTCATTTACAGATTCAACGCTATCCCCATCAAGCTACCAATGACCTTCTTCACAGAACTGGAAAAAAACCACCTTAAACTTCATATGGAACCAAGAGAGAGCCCACATAGCCAAGTCAATTCTAAGCAAAAAGAACAAAGTGGGAGGCATCACACTACTGGACTTCAAACCATACTACAAGGCTACAGTAATCAAAACAGCTTGGTACTGGTACCATAACAGAGATATAGACCAATAGAACAGAACAGAGGCCTCATAGGCAACACAACACATCTACAACCATCTGATCTTTGACAAACTGGACAAAAACAAGCAATGGGGAAAGGATTCCCTGTTTAATAAATGGTGTTGGGAAAACTGGCTAGCCATGTGCAGAAAGCAGAAACTGGACCCCTTCCTGACACCTTACACTAAAATTAACTCCAGATGGATTAAAGACTTAAACATAAGACCTGACACCATAAAAACCCTAGAAGAAAATCTAGGCAAATCCATTCAGGACATAGGCGTAGGCAAGGACTTCATGACCAAAACACGAAAAGCATTGTCAACAAAAGCCAAAACAGACAAATGGGAACTAACCAAACTCCACAGCTTCTGCATGGCAAAAGAAACAGTCATTAGAGTGAATCAGCAACCAATGGAATGGGAAAAAATTTTTGCAGTTTACCCATCTGACAAAGGGCTGATATCCAGAATCTACAAAGAACTAAAACAGATTTACAAGAAAAAAACAAGCAAGCCCATTTAAAAGTGGGCAAAGGATATGAACTGACACTTTACAAAAGAAGACACACATGAGGCCAACAAACATATGAAAAAATGCTCATCATCACTGGTCATTAGAGAAATGCAAATCAAAACTACATTGAGTTACCATCTCATGCCAATTAGAATGGCGATCATTAAAAAATCTGGAGACAACAGATGCTGGAGAGGATGTGGAGAAATAGGAACACTTTTACACTGTTGGTGTGGGTGTAAATTAGTTCAACCATTGTGGAAGGCAGTGTGGCGATTCCTCAAGGACCTAGAAATAGAAATTCCATTTGACCCAGCAATTCCATTACTGGGTATATATCCAAAGGATTATAAATCGTTCTACTATAAGGACACAGGCACACGAGTTACAATAGCACACGAGTGCTATTGTAAACCATTGCAGCATGGTTTTACAGTAGCAAAGACCTGGAACCAACCCAAATGCCCATCAATGATAGACTGGACAGGGAAAATGTGGCACATATACACCATGGAATATTATGCAGCCATCAAAAACGATGAGTCCATGTCCTTGTAGGGACATGCATGAACCTGGAAACCATCATTCTCAGCAAACTGACACAAGAACAGAAAATCAAACACAATGTGTTCTCACTCATAGGTGGGTGATGAATAATGAGAACACATGGACACAGGGAGGGGAGCATCACACACTGGGGTCTGTAGGGGGGAAATAGGAGAGGGACAGTGGGGGGTGGGGAGTTAGGGAGAGATAGCATGGGGAGAAATGCCAGATATAGGTGTTGGGGAGGAAGGCAGCAAATCACACTGCCATGTGTGTTCCTATATGACAATCTTGCATGTTCTTCACATGTACCCCAAACCTGAAATGCAATTAAAAAAAAGAAAATTGGCAAACAAAGAGAATAAGACAGTATCTTATTCTCCAAATAAGATATACAAATGGTCAGTAAACATATAAAAAGATGCTGAAGGCCAGGTGAGATGGCTAATGCCTGTAACCACAGCACTTTGGGAAGCTGAGGTGGGTGAATTATTTGAGGTCAGGAGTTCAAGACCAGCCTGACCAACATGGTGAAACCCTGTCTCTACTAAAAATACAAAAATCAGCCAGGTGTGGTGGCACACATCTATAATCCCAGCTACTCAGAAGGCTGAGATATGAGGATGGCTTGATCCCAGGGGGTGGAGGTGGCAATGAGTCAAGATGGTGCCATGGCATTCCAGCCTAGGTGACAGAGTAAGACTCTGTCTCAAAAAAATAAAAATAAAAAAAGATACTCAAAATCACTAATCATTAGGGAAATGCATTTCAAAACCACAATGAGGCACCACTTCACACCCATTAGGATGGCCACTATTAAAAATGAAACAAAACCAAACCAGAAAATCACTGTTGGCGAGGCTGAGGAAATTGGAACACTCGTGTCTTGCTGGTGGGAACATAAAATGGTGCAACCACTGTGGAAAATGGTATGGCCATTCCTCAAAAAATTAAAAATAGAGTTACCATATAATCTAGTAATTCCACTTTCAAAAGAATTGAAAGTGGGGTGTCAAAGAGGTATTTATTTGTACATCTATGTTCATAGCAGCATTCATCACAATAGTCAAAAGGGTAAACTGACCAAAATGCCATTGATGGATGACAAAATATGGTACACACATACAATAGAATATTATTCAGCATTCTTCACAATAGTCAAAAAGTTAAACTGACCCAAATGTCCACTGATGGATGAAGGGGTAAACAAAATATGATATGTACATACAATGCAATATTATTCAACCTTAGAAAGGTATGAGATTCTAATACATGCTACACACTTTCAAGAATGAACCTTGAAAACAGCGTGCTAAGTGAAATACGCTAGATACAAAAGGATGTACGATTTTGCTTGTATGAGGTTCCTAGAATAGTAGAAGTCGTAGAGACAGAAAGGAGAATAGTGGTTACCAGGGACTAGGAGGAGTGAGGAATGGAGAGTCATTCTTTAAAGGATATGCAGTTTCAGTCTGTGTTGATGAAAAGGTTCTAGAGATGGATAGTGATGATGATGGTTGGACAACAATGTGAATGTATTTAGTGCCACCGAATTGTACCCTTAAAAATGATTAAAATGGTAAATTGTGTGCTATGTATATTTTACTGCAATAAAAAAAAGACATAGACATACACACCTTCACTCAGCTGCAGTGGCCAGATTTCAAGTACTCAATACTCATATGGCTAATGGCTATTGGAGATCACAGGCCTGAAATGGAGGATTTTGGAGGTGACATGTATTTGGTGGGACCATAAGTGTAATTTGGTTTTGACATGTAGCCTAAGAACATCAGCTTCCTCCTTTTAGTCAACAATAAAATAATGGGAAACAGTAAGAGCACCATGTATAGAGTTTGCTTCTGACCAGCAGTGCCCAGTCACTCTCAAACTGGGAGCCTCCTGTGGGCAGGGCTGGCGCCTGTGTTATTTCGTGGGATGTGAGCAGGTCACGTAACCGCTGAGCATAGGCTTTGTCTTCCTAAGAGGGTCTGGTGCTTTCCGGATGAGATTCCATATCTTCTTATGTTGGAGAGAAGATAAAATATCTAAGTAAGTTCCAGAAAAGCACACAGATGAAACACACCAAGACTGAAACCACAATGATCCAGAAAAAGCTAGTGTTTGGTTATCATTTGCTTCAGCATCCCAGTTGCCCTGATCATTTTTTTCTTTTTTTCCTTTTTCTATTTTTGAGACAGGGGTCTTGCTTTCTAGCTATGCTGGAGTAGTCGTGTGATCACAAATCATTGCAGCCTTGAACTCCTGGGCTCAAGCAATCTTCCCTCCCCAGCCTTTCAAGTAGCTGGGACTACAGGCATGTACCACTATGCCCAGCAACTTTATTTTCTGTAGATATGAGATCTCATAATGTTTCCCAGGCTGGTCTTGAACACCTGGCTTCAAGTAATACTCCCACCAAAGCCTCCCAAAGTCATTAATCGTCTTGATGTATTTCCTCTCATTAGCTTGCCATTTCCAGCAGGATATTCTGTAGTCCAATTTCCCTGTTCTGCTCTCAAACGACTGACAGGGGGCTGGCATCCTCAGGAGTCACCTCCATGCAGATGGGGCACTGGAGCACAGCTCTGTACCTCCCAGCAGAGGTTGTAGAATGAGGAGGATGTGAGTATCCACCTTTGTCAGTACAGGCTCCATGAAAATAAACCACACCACCAAATAAATGGTTTAATTTTATTTCAAAATTGTACAAAATGGCCATAAGTGGCTATAAAAAACTTTGTCTTCAGAACATGTGGAAATTCAGAAACAACAAAACAGGTATCATTCACAGTGTAATGGAAAAGCTTTTTCTGAGGCAGGAGTTATAACTCTTCCTTCTTTTTCCCTAGTCTTTCATGGTCTCCCTCCCGGAGGGCTCGAATATAATTGGTAAATCCCAATTCCTGTGGGGAAGGGGGAGAAAGAGAGAGAGAGGAACTTTAATCCCTGAGCTGGCTGTGCACTCTCCCTCTACTCCCCACCCCCCACCTTTCCAGGGGCTCACTCCTGCAACAGGGAAGAGGTAGGCAGACTTCTGCAAGATGGAGAGGGTCTGCTTGGCTTCCACTAGCCCTGACAAGTAAGAAAACCCCTTGGCATCTGGAGTCCAGCCTGGCTTTGGGGACAAGATATCTGTGACTCTCCTCCCTTGAACTCTCCTCCAACTATGTCAAGCCTCAGCCAGGCCCAGGGCCTGTGGCATCCTGGTGCAGTGTTTCAGCTGACTTCTACAGTTTCTGGGATGCCGCTCAGTGCTGCCCCTCCTCGGTGGAAGTTTCCCTGCCCATCAGCAGAGCAACCCCGGGGCAGACGCCTCTCCCAGACTTACTGTGCGGTCACTATCATACTTTTCTGTGAACTTCCCATAGTGGTAGTAGTGGAAAGTGGGGTAGCCTTTGACGGCCTCCTGCTGGCACAGGTCTTGGTTCTTGTCTTTGACACAGTCGACAGCAGCACAGGCAATCTAGGGGGTAAGATAAGGAGAGTCGACACAGGGCATCCCCAGGCTGAGGCCTGGACCCCACAACAGAGATTGCACATCTAGCCGATGTCACAGGCCCACTCCAATTTTTCTCCATAGTGGCAGGAAGGAACTGAACCAAGGCACCCCCAGCTCAGAGCTCCTTTGAGACTGATGGTGCTTGTTTTCAATTTCCAAGGCAGATGGGTAACGTTAGGGGATTCGGCCTAGAGTGCCTTTAGACTGTCCTTGAAAATCAAGTATATGATGATCATAAAGGAAATGACGACTTGAAAGCAACTGTAAACACCACAGGTTCCGTGGTGCTTTCTGTAAAGCACTGTAGGATTCAATCATTTATCAACTAATGTTTCCGGAACATTTGCTTGGAGTGGACAGTGTAGTGTCAAGGTTAAGAGCAAGAGGTTTCAAGTCAAGTTTCCCAAGTGCATTCTTGGTTTGCCTGGACATGACCCAGTCTCTTGGTGTCTCAATTTTTTCAGCTGTAAAATGGGGACAATAACAGTATCTAGACTATGAGGATATTGTGAAGCTGAATAAGAGAATTCAAGTGAGGCTAATCAGCACAGGACCTAGCACAGGATTTGTGGTCAGGAAATGTCAGCTGCTATAAGTCACTTCTTCTGACCCCATATACAAGCTCTGTCCCCACTAGGGGCTCAGAGTCTGGGCAGGGGTTGGATAAAGAGACATCTCCAAAATGGTGTGATGTGAGGGATGAGGGAGGTGGTCCAGGTGCCAAGAGAACCCAGGTGAGCGGGCCAAAGGTGCTCCGTATGATTCGCCATCTGAGCCAAGACTGGAATAGGAGGAGATCAGGGAAGCACATCTGGAAACTGGAGGAGTCCTGCATGACTAAAGTCTTCAGAATGTTTGGCCAGAAAGTGGTTCCCACATTGGCCACTGGTCTCTTCTTGCCCATCTAGCAAATTCCACTGCTGCGTAACTTTTCCTCAGCATGCGTTGCTCTTTCAAAAGAAGAGAGTATAAAGCAGAAATGGGGAACTTGTTTCCTGTTGAGGGTTATACACCACAGAAGCTGGAGAATGGGTCCTCAATGGCCATACCCAATACAGAGGTGTTAGGGAAGGGAGGGCAGATTCCCATGAGAGGGAGTCCTCCCGCCAGGCAACACGCACTGAAACCCTGCTGTGTGCCAAGCCTGCTCTAGATGCTGGGGGAACAACGTTGACCTTGACAAAGTCCAGTTATCAAGCATCTGCTGTATAATGAATGAGGTCATTTTAGATAGAGCTCAATGAATGCTTGGAATAAATTAAAAGAGTGTGATTCAATAAGATAATTTAAAATTGTTGAATAGCCATGATTCACACAGTTCTTTGGTTGATGGTTATTCACATTCAGACAGAGGCCCCTTTCCAGGTAGGACAGCCCTGCAGGCCCCCATGGCCACATTTACTCATCATGTCCCTCGTGCCCAGGTAAGCTGCAGGACGGAGAGCTGGAGAGAACAATGAGGTGCGGCCTCCCCCTCCACCAGGCGCCACTCTTAATCCCCCTCCCCCTCAGGCTTCCCTTCTCTTCAGCTACGTAACATTCTATATGGTGAGGCTTTTACAATGGAGTTTACAAACTCGCTGCCTGCAATCTGTATCTGGCTCTCAGTCCTGTTCTATTTGGACCACACAGAATTTAACAAAAAATAAATAAATAAACCTGAATTAACTGCCAACATAGAAATGGAACCAGAAGATTTAATATAACAATTTGGCTTTCCAACTTCTCTTTAAAAGTCAGAAGACTTGACAGCACTTACCCTGCATTCCCACAGGCAACAACTGGCTGGGTGGAGAGGCAGCTGTCCTTTAGGCAGGCTAAATGTACCTTCCCCAGCATCCCCTGGAGCCCAATTCACCCAGGCCACCAGACTGGCCCCTGCGTACTTCTGAGAACCCCAGCCCACCACTTAAGCACTTTATTATTTAAAAACATGAGGCAGATGCTCCCCTGGCCAAATTGTGGGATTCCATTTCTTGGGGCAGGTGCTATGGGACTGGGCCCAACGGACATGGGCATCCATACACTCTCCTTCCTTGCAGCCAGCGACTGAGGACCTGTGTCCAGCCCAGGCCAGGGGCTGCTGCTCCACTGTGAAAGTCCTGGACGAACATGGCTCTGGGCTGCTGCTCTCCCTGCAACTGCTTTAAATTATGAATTTAATTTGTATACATGCCCCGGAGCTATTGGAAACATAGTGTATGGTTTTATAAATCTACTAAATTAGAAATGTGTACTTGTTCTGAATCACCTAAACTAGCTGCCAGCCGCACACACGGAATACAACTTCTAGCTGCAAAGGCGAATCCATGTGCAGTTTCCACAGAAGAGGAGACAAATGCATGCCTCTCCTAAGGCAGCAGCTTGGACTCTTTGGAAAGAAGACAGTGAAGAAAGCTCTTCTCAGCAATCGAAATTTCACCTGTCTAAATGCCCGTCCCCTTACACCCAACTCAAGATTTGCACTGATCACTTGCAACACAGAACATCTGTGATTTCTCGATTTGTTCTATGGTGGTCGGCACGAATTCCTGAGGCACATGCTTCTGCTGTCCTGCCACATCCTCTCGGACCAGCCCTTGCCACAGCACCTGCTGCTCTCAGCCTCAGAGCATCCTCCCAGCCTCAAGGAGCTGAACATAAGGCCAATGACAGATGGGGGTCTAGAACAAGTACGCTGGCTTCCTTGGCCTTTGAGTGGAACAGCTCCGTGTCACATTTCCTGGTAAAGTCTCCCTTGTGACTGAGCCTTGGTAACCCATGCAGCCATCTGCCTATAAAACACCTGCTTTGGTTCCTCCCTTTTCATGTCTCACTTCCAGGATCCCCTCTGCAACTTCCTGAGATCGCTGCCCAAAGAAATTCCCTGCACATGAGCCCAGGGGCAGGATCTACTTCTAGGAGAACTCAATCTCTGGCAATGCCTGTTTGTGAGTCTCACTCTGCCTCTCTCCAGCTGACAGACTCTGGGCTAGTCATACGATCTCTCTAAGATTCAATCACCTCTTCAGTAAAATGAGCACGTAACAATATCTAGATGAACAAGCTATTGTGAGGACAATATGACATAAGCAATGCTTTCAGCAGAACTCTCAGTAAATATCAAATATGTTATATTGTTCCTTCATCCAGTCAACATTTATACAGGTCTAAGGTGTCATGACTGTGGGGAGTTCAAGGACAAATGAGGTCTCTGTCCTCAGGAAGTTTTTGCTCGGAATAGGCAGTAGCCAGCCTCATAAACAGGAGGACCTACATGTCATAGCCAGATTCCAGTAGTGATGTGAGCCCATCACAGAGAAGGGGCCCCTACTGCCTCAGGGCCTCCCTCGAGGGGTGACCTTCACACTTAGCCCCACCCCCAGACTGTGGACACCTTGATGTGCAGTGAAAGGTGAGCCCCCCACCTGCTTGCCAGGCCACCAAGGTCCTGTCTGCCTTGCCCCTTCAATAACACCATCCGTTCCAACACTAACACTTTGCAGTCCTTTTCCCACCAGCGTGCCAACCAATAAAGTCCCCAAGTAAGCTCCTGGGAGGGGGTGGAAGCTCCCCAGCTAAAATATGAGCTGCCACATACAGCTTTATTGATTCAGTAAAATAAATCTCTGCAGGAGCTAATATTGACTCGGGCTATGAAAATGGAAGTGAACAACCAACTGCATATTGATTGGGAAAGGAACAGGGACTGGCTTCTGGGTGGAAAAAACCCCCACAATTCCAGCTAAGAAGTGCCAGCGTGGGGGCTTAGGAGACCCAGTTCTGGCTGTCAGTGACCTGCTGGGCATTCCTAGGCAAAGGACGCAGCTCCTCGCTGGGCCTGGGTCCCTCACCAGTAAAGGGAGAGGGGACAGGCCAACAGTCCCCACACACCAGCATGTGGCCAGCACAAGAGCCAGCTCTTAAAAACCGCACATTTCCGGCACCATGCTCCAGAGACTGCAATCTGATAGTTGTAGAATGGGACCCAGTAGTCACTGTGCCATGCCTGGAGCACAGTGGGCACCAGTAAGTTCAGTCCCCCAGGCCAGATGGCTGGCTTCCCTGATGTCATGAATGCAACCTCCAGGAATCCCAGGCAGGCCAGCTGCGCCAGACAGAGAGGTTACAAAGTGCATTCCTAAAAGCACGTAAGGGTGATCCCTGGCTTGGAATAAAGGAAGCTGAAAGGAGAAACAAAGGGAATAAGAGAGGGATTGAACCCAGGAAAAGGCCACACCACCACTGGTCCAAGACAATCAAGCAAAGGTGTGTCAGTGTCTAAGGGGAGGGGGCACCAAGGAAATGGGGCCCCTGTGTAGCAGTGGAGGGGGAACCGGAAGAGGAGAGGTGGGGTCTCAGCTGCTTGCTGGAGGCCTGGCAAGCCTGGCGTCACCTGCACTGATGCAGGTCAGGCCACAGGACAGCCTCAGCAGCGGTCTAGTGGGCAGAGAGGCACCATGTCAATAGGGCCGCCCCTCCAGGGTTTCCCCAGCCTTCCGGGTGCCTCAACTGGACCACGTTCCCTGACACCACACTTTCCAGTCTGGCTGGGAGGGCAATGCCTCAGGGCCCTCACAGATCTCCTAGGCCTGTGGAGACCTGAGTGGCTGGTGGGACAGGGAGATGGCACACCTCAGCCTTTCTCCTGCTGCCCAGCACACCGCTGGGTGATGCAGCTGGCCTGCCTGGGATTCCTGTAGGTTGCATTCATTACATCAGGGAAGCCAGCCATTTGGCCTGGGGGACTAAACTTACTGGTGCCCACTCTGTGCTCCAGGCATGGCACAGTGACTACTGGGTCCCATTCTGGGTGGGGCGTGATGGACATCGATGTGGAGTCCCATGGACTGGCAACCCAGGCCATGTTGGATATCCTGGGACCGCCCCCCCACAGTGGGAGCAACCTCCCTGTACTGTGCACAAGTGGGTGTGGACAATGAGGGACATGGACATGGGAAAGAAGCCCCTGCTGCCACAACCACCTCAGTCCAAGGAAAGGGGCAGGCAGAGGAGAAAACTCTTCTGGTCCTTGTACTCCCTTCTTGTGGGGGTGAAGGGTGCCTCAAAGCCAGGGCTTATCGGTAACAGTGGGACTCCCTGACTCCAGGGAGAGTCCTGGGCTCTGGGTCTAAGTGGGAGTCAGGTCCCCAGTTCGTCCCCACTCTACCTACATGGGTCTGTCCCCAGCCTGGCTTCCTTTGACTTTATGTCCATGTAAGGTTCCCCATCTCTGCCACTCTCTCTGGGACCGTTAAGGTGACCCTAGCACCTGTATCTCTGCTCCCACAAGGCTGGATGGTACCTTCAGGCCTGACCTGTTGGCCTTGATCAAAACTACAAGCCCTGCCCACGCAGCCCTGGAATGGTCATCTGTCTGTGCTCATGCGTGCTGCTCCACTGACACCAGCTGCCCTTCCTGGCCTCCGCTGAACTCTGTCTGGACCTGCTTGGCCTGTTTATCATGTAGGACTCTGTGATCAGCTTATGCCTGGCCTTGGTTCCTTCCAGACTACAATGGCCCCACCTGGAATTCCACCCAGGAAATTAAGGCACCCCCGCACATGACTCTGGGTCTGGGTATGTGTGAAAATGCGGGTCCCACAAGACTGCCAGCTTCTAGGGCCTGTTAGGCCAGAGGTTCCCATGACTGAGTTTTAGGGTTGGGAGGAGTCTTTGCAGCCCTCTGCACCAGCACTCTGCCTGTCATGGAATTCGAGAAGGAAACTGGAAGCCTGGCAGTCAACTGCACTTCCCCGAATTCAGGGGTATTTCCCTGCCCCACAAGCCCTCTCCCTACAGCAGCCCCGCTGCACCAGCTGCCTGGGGGATGCGCCTGGCGGCCCTGCACTCTAATCCAATCTGCAGCTCCAGCTTGTTAATTTTATGCTTCACCACTCGGCAGCTGCAGGAGCCTTTCACTTAGGCAGGGCGAGGCTCCACTGACATAGCCTTGCTCTCCTCCACCGTGGAATCCTCCAGTTGACTTTTGTTGGATTTTTAAACGTAGTTTTAATTATATAAGTAATGCATGACGACAATCCTACAGTAAAAAGTTTCAAGCACTAAAAAAGTAAACAGACGACCCTTTTAACCATCCCTCTCCTCCAAGTAAGTACTGGAACTGTTCAGCATATCCCTTTTAGTCGGTTTTGCAGCATAAATCCAGCCTGCCCTATCTTCCTTATAAAGAGAATGTCCTGGTTCCCTAGGAATTCCCTGCTTATAGGTCTTAGCTGACCTGCCCCTGTTTAGGGAAGGGACCTGAATGACAAGGCGGCAGGTGTAGGAATCAGCTGGAGGCAGATCAAGAGATAAAGAGGGCTATCCTTACCTTTCGGTCATCTTTAAAGACATCAGCAGCAGCAGTGAAGTGCGGAATGACTTTCTTACAGTGTGGACACCCTGTGTGAGAGGGGAACAGAGCACACGGAACAGTGATGATGTGCAGGGAGGCTGCAGGGCCAGGGGCCCTTCCCGAAAGCTCCAGAGAGGCCTCTCCAGGAGCCCCACCCCAGCCAGCCACAGTCAGGGTCCTTTTGTCAGCCTTACCACTCTAACCAGCTCCCTGCCATGTCTGATCTCTTGGTAGGGGGGATTGGTAGGAGTCCCTGTCACAAGCCTCATGTGCTCCTGACCGGGCTGGGGAGTGATGGTCACTGTAGTCTAGTTCTGCTCCTTCCACAGAGGATGAGGAAGAGCCTGATCTTGGGTGCAGAGGGAGCTCTGGGCTTAAAGAGGAAGACACGGGATTCTCAGAGCCTGCCACAATCTTCTCTTGCTCTGGGGACAATGGCAAATCTCTCCATTTCCTGACTGAGAGGAAGTGGCATTGGGAAACGTAGGGTGGGGGGATTTAGGGGCACCTACTCTACACCCACTGCTCACGCTTTGCTGCTAACTTCCACGTTCCTAGCAACCCCCACCCAGCCCAGACTGTGAGCAGCCAAACCAGGCCCTGATCCCCAACTCTCCATCTACCATTTGCTCTACAATAACCAGAACCTCAAAGCCAGGAACAGGAGGGCCACAGTTGGGGTAAGAGGGAGAGAAGCTATCGGAAGCCACCAGACAGTCCTCAGGTCCCCTGATGCTCTCTGTCCCAGGGAGAAGGCTTGTCAGAGTGGCCTAAGGCCTTTGAATTATACTGGGACCCCTATCTCCACCATCTGTCTCTTGTTCTGGGCATCACCCTGAGCCCCCAGCTCTGACCTCAGTGTCTCAGGAGCAGGGTAGGGAACTCTGTGGAGGCCACTTTCTCCTCCTGTCCTGGTGAGCCCAGGAAGCTGCAGGCTGCTCCAGCCCTTCCCTCAGCACTAACAGGTCAGAACCCAAACTCCCCTCCTGTCTCAGCCCTTTCCCAGTCACTGGTGGACAGAACTGCCTAGCGGGCAGACGGGCTCTGAGGGAAGGGTTTCCCTGGGCATGGGGAGGCTCCAGCCCACACTGTTATGTCAGCCAGCCTCCCTGGGCCATAGGAAGGCAGAGATGCCACGGTGGGAATAGAAACAACCCTGCTCATCTACTTTCTCCTTTTTAAAATAAGATAATAATGACTGGCATTTCAAAGGGTTTTGTGAAACCAAATTAAGGCTAAGCTACAAGTTTAATCTGAATTTAGTCTTTGAGCCAGTCCTGAGATGGGCAGGACCACCCACATGGTCCGGCTGGCAGAGTGGCCAGCTGGCCCAGAACATTGTTGGGGGTGATGGGGGATGGGGATGTAGAGAGATTTGCCAAATCTCATGCAGAAGGAGCAGAAGAGACCTGGGCCACTGATAGGTTATATCAGAAATGAGGCAAGCACAGCTTAGCAATGTGCCTAGCACAGCCTAGCTCACGTCAGAGACTGGATGATTTTTTAATAGCCTAAAATGGCAATTACAAGTAATACTTCTCTAATTTGACATAACAGAAAGAAAAATAGCTCAAATTCATGAAAGTGTCATACTATAAAGGGATGGTGTTATAAAATTTTCAAAACACTTAAAGAGCGCAATCTACTGGTTAACAAGGTACGTCTCAGACAGATCCTGCAGGCAGCTGCAGGCCCCTTGTGTATGGCATATGCCCGTAACAGCATTAGGCTGGCTGAAAACAACCATCCCCTTCCTCAAAATTTGGTTTCACTATTAATTTTTTCCTTTTTAACCCCTTTGTTCATTGAAAGTATAAAAGTAACTGTCAGCCTAGTGTAAATTCCTGTTACCACCAATTTAAAATATCTAGGCCTCAGATCAATGGCCTTCTGTTGCATCTAATTTTCTCATTATCCAAAAGAAAGAGCAGGGCCAATGAATAACAAGGGGGAGGGCTGTTTTAGAAAGTGCATGAAGATGCTTCTAAGAGTTGTCAGGAGGGCCAGATGTGCATGATTTTTTAAAATGTGGGCTTTAAAAAAAATAAAAAAAAGGCACTGTCTCTGGGCAGCAGAAAAACCAAAAAGCCTCCCAGGGAAAGAGGAACAAAGACTGAGGACGGGCTGGACAATGGCAGCTCTAGAGACTCCACCAAGCCGGCCTGAGAAGGGCAGTCACCATGACCAGATCATTCAGCGTAAAAGGAGCAATGAAACAGCAGGAGGAAGAGCTGTGCAGAAGCTGGGGAGACAGGATGTGGGGGCAGACATGGTGGGAGAAGGTAAGGTGTGGGGGTGAGGCAGCTTTAAGGGGAGCAGGAATGTGTGGGCAGGCTGCTTTCATGTTAGACCTTTATCAGGGATTTGACATTTATGTAGTGTTTAGATCCTTCATATATAAAAAGTATATTGTATATGCTGTATTTATATATTAAAAATAAGCTTTATTATTTTTATTATTTTAAAAGTCAAAAGATATGTATTTTTTATCCTTGGAGAGTCTTCCCCCTGTAACCCACTAATGAAGATGTATGTCCCTGGGGCAAGATTTAGGGACAGAAAAATGCAGTAAGAGAGATGAAGAAACTCTAAGGACCAAGCCCTCTGCCAGAGGTTGAGTCACTCACTGACCCTGCCCTGGAGGGAATGTGTTTAAAGTTTTGTCAGGGTAGACAGTGAGCCACTCAAGGCCTGGCAGGGACAAGTTTCCCTCCCTTATATCCTGGATCCAGGACACTGCACAGCACAGAGCTGATACCTGAGGATAGAGGGAAGACAGGCAGGAAGGCAGGAAGGGAGGCAGGCAGGCAAGAAGGAAGGAAGGAAGGAAGGAAGGAAGGAAGGAAGGAAGGAAGGAAGGAAGGAAGGAAGGAAGGAAAGAAGGAAGGAAGGAGTTGTAGATCTTTGGCAGCCCAAAAGGGTAAGAGTCTATCCCAGATTCCCTGGGGATTCAAGCACCTGTCTGCCCTGCAGCCAGGGTCAGGGGTGGCAGGGGTCTTATGTCTGCTATGAAGGCCGCTCAGTCAGGAAGGAGCTTAAGAGAGGCAGGGGAAACACTATGGCTCTGGTCTAGAGATCTGGGGAAGAAAAGCAGCATCTCCGGGGGAAAGTATTTAGTCTGGACTTTGTAAAGTTCACCCCAGGGCTGGTCAAGGGCTCCCACTTCTGCAGCCAAGTTCTCACTTTCTGCTGAAAAAAATTCTTACTCTCTGGACTGGACTGTGCCTGTGACAGAGAGCCACCCAGGCTGCAGGAGGGGCCTGCCACCAACTTGCTCCATGGCCTTGGGCAAGGCTCAGTCTTCCACCCACCAAAGCCAGAGGGAAGATGTCAGCTCCCGAAAATCTTTAAGTTTCTGGGCACACTCTACAGACAGAAGAGGACAGCAAGAAGCTCTCTAAGGGACCGGGAGAGGACGAGTCCCACTCTGAGAAAGAAAGGCAGAAAGAGAGGGGCAGGGAGGCCACCTCAGGGAGGGGGCTAAGACTGTGGCGGCCCCTTTCAGACCCTGAGAAAGCAGACACACAGATTATGAACACTTGAAAGGTGGGGGCAGGGAGAGCCAACAGGAGGGCCAGCTACAACTGAGTGGGTTTATGGCTAGATGGAGCTGCCTGGCTTCTCTGCAGACCACGGCTTTTATTATCCTCACTCCATTAAGCTGAGCTGTAACCTGGGGGAGAGAGAGAAGGGCAGCAGAGAGTGGGAAATTCTAAGAACCTTTCATTGTAAGTATCAATTAACAACTTCAAAATGGGAATACACAGAAACCCGAGGTCACAGATGCCAATGTCAGCAGACAAGTCACTTCCTTAGCTTAAGCTCTGATTAAAAAGAGAACCGCACAGGAGCTCAGGAGCAAATGTGGCTGTGCCTATACCACAGCTCCAGAGCCATCTGGAAGGGCAGGGAGATGGGGTTCCAAGGTGCCGAAGATAAGTCAGTCTCTGGAGGAGGAAGAGGGGGCGGAGGCAGCTGAGGGGTGGGAAGTGTGCAGGTAGGGGACAGGGGCGTGGAGAAACCCAGGGACAAGAGGGCACCAGCACAGAGGCAGAGGGCTTCAGGACAGAAACAAGAAAGGCTGCCCCAAAGGAATGAGAGCCCAAAAGGGTTGACAAAAGAAGGCCCTGGATTTGAAGGACCCCTCAGCATGGAATAAAACTGGAGCGCCTGGTTCATAGTAGAGATGACCCCAGGATCAATCAGTGGCTGCCCTGGACCCTGGGGTGGGTGTGAGGGTCTTCTTGGTTTGGTGCGGCCAAACCCTCTTACTTTGCCCCTCCATGAGCAGCCGAGCTACTTACAAGGGGCGTAGAACATGACCAAGGTGTGTTTCTTTCTCTTCAGGGTCTCCTGGAAGTTGTCCCCCACCAGGTGCAACACACTTGTCTGCTGCTCTTCCCACGTGGGCTCTGGGGGCGGGGGGGGCCTCAGGGCTACAAGAAGCCAGGGGAGAGGGGAAGCAGCCATGAGGACAGATTTTTAGACGGGCAAGGAAATCCATCCACAATGTCCCAACCACTCAGGGGAACACGCATGAAGAAGCTACTACATTCCTTCTAAAATTTCATTTTAAAACTGCAGTTTAATCACAAACAAATCTGTACCAGCAGCAAAGACATTCCCTGATTCCCTCTGAGGAGCCCATTAGGGAGTCATTTTGTAAATTGTGGAAGACTTGACCCCATTTTAGGGAGGGCAGCCCCCCTAGTTGTGGGCCATGCTTTCCTTGAAAGGACATAGAGCCACCTTTGCCTGGACTCCCGGGCCCCTCCTTCCTGCAACCTACATGATTGTTCATTATCTTCTGCTTCTCAGTCTTTGTTCTGGTGGAAAGCATGTGTCAAGGAGTGAGGCGGGTCTGGGTTCAAATCCAGGTGACTTACCAGCTGTGCAACCTTACGTAAGTTACTAAACCCCTCTGAGCCTCTATTTTTTTTTTTTTCTGTTAAATGAGGACAATGGGATCTTTACAAAGAGCAGAGAAGTATGTAAAGCATCTACTCAGTCAAGGAACTGTATTTACTGAGAGCCTAGATTCTCTAATAAATGTCAGTCATTGGATAAATGTCATTGCTTCTCCATCCTGGCATCCCAGAGCCATCTGCTGTTCACACTCCATCTGAAGGATCTCCTGTAAGTGCCCGGAAGAACTGCCATTTGTCCCTGGACAGGGACCTTAATTTCTCTGAACCTAAGCTTCTTCACCAATTAAATATGAATAAAAACTCTAGCCTCAGTAGGACTTGAGGATGAAATGGGGCATGAGATAGGAGAGCATTCTGCAAAGGCTGGCTGCTGTGATCACTTATGCATTGATACTGTCAGTCACGAGAAGGCCACAGTCAGTCATAAAAATAGTTTCAACTTTTTTTTTTTTAAAGACAGGGTCTCACTCTGTTGCTGAGGCTGGAGTACAATGGAGGCCCAGCTCACTGCAGCCTCGACCTCCTGGGCTCAAGCAATCCTCCCACCTCAGACTCCCGAAGTGCTGGGACTATAGGTATGCACCACAATGCACAGGTAATTTTTTTTTTATTTTTAGTAGAGATGAGGTCTCACTATGTTGCCCAGGCTGGTCTTGAACTCCTGAACTCAAGAGATACTCCTGCCTCTAATCTCCAAAGTGCTAGGATTACAGGCATGAGACACCGTGCCCGGCCAGCTTCAACTTTTTGAGTACTTCCACATCACATCCTGTGCTGAGCACTTTTCACAAGAGTCTCATTTAATTTCCTAGACAAGTCTATGGGGAAATTACTGTCTTCATCTTACAGATGGGAAACTGAGGCTTACAGGGGTCAAGGAAATGGCTCAGGGTCATGATCTGGGCCCAGGTCTCTCAGACTCTAAAGCCCATGCTCTTGACCTCAAAGCATTTTAAAAAGTACTTAAACCTGAAAGCACTTGGCCTGAGTGCTTTCCAGGCTCTCAGTGGCAGCGCTGGCACACAGAAAGGACAGAAACCCCTCATGCTCGCTGTTTGTGTCCAGGACTCTGGAGCACTGATTAGCAATGACCAACACTCTGGATTCCCTTGGTTCTCTAATCAAAAGTCCAAGCATCACAGGGACCCGGCCAGATTCCTCGCCCCGCCCCATCCCTTCCAGTGAACCAGCCCTGGCGCCAGAGCAAGGCTGGAAAAGTGGGTGTGAATAAGCCCCTTGCTTCAGACACCAGAAGGCCTTGAGGGATGAGCACCTTGTCCCTTTCAGAGGCAAAACATCGTTCCCCTCTGGTCTCTGAGACAAATGCCTGGCTACTCTCCAAATCCTCCCAGTGGACGATCAGGACAAAGTGGGAGAAACTGAAGCCAGGATCTCACCCACCCACTCACCTCTTGCCAGAGGCCTTCCCTGAACTCAGTGGCAACTTTGCTCCCATTCCACGAGCTGGTGTTTCTCACAACACCATGGCTGAGGGTCCCATTCACACCTCCTGAATCAAAGAGTCTCAGAGTCTGCGCTTTAAATAAGCACCTCATCTCTGACCCATGTCCTAACAAAGTAGCTCAGACCATATAGGTTCAACTGTGTTCCCTCTAATTCATATGTTGAAGTCCTAACCCCCATTATCTCAGAATGTGACTATATCTAGAGATAAATTATCCCTTTAAAGGGATAATTCAGCTAAGATGAAGTCATTAGGGTGGGCTCTCATCCAACATGACTGGTGTCCTTATAAAAAGAGCAGATTAGGTCACAGACACATATAGAGGGGTGGTCATGGGAAGTTATAAGCAGAAGATGGCCAGGGAGAGGGGCCTTGGAAGAAACCAACCCTGCCAACATCTTGATCTCTGATTTCTAGCCTCCAAAATTGTAAGAAAATAGGCTGCACACAGTGGCTCATGCCTGTAATCCCAGCACTTGGGGAGGCCGAGGCGGGTGGATCACTTGAGCTCAGGAGTTTGAGACCAGCCTGGCCAACATGGTGAAACCCTGTCTCTACTAAAAACACAAAAAAATTAGCCAGGCGTGGTGGGCAGCACCTGGCAATCCCAGCTACCCAGGAGGCTGAGGCAGGAGAATCGCTTGAACCTGGGAGGCAGAGGTTGCAGTAAGCCCAGATCACACCACTGTACTCTAGCCTGGGCGACAGAGTGAGACTGTCTCAAAACAAAACAAAACTGTAAGAAAATAAACTTTTGTTGTTAAGACACCTGGTCTGTTACTTTGTTATGGTAATATTAGCAAACTAATAGACAGGCTGAGGGGGCTCTTCAAAATCTTTATCCTCAGCTGCAAGCCACCGAAGGCCCAGCCAATCACTAGCAAACCTGGATGAAATGAGTCCGGCTCTGGCTATGAAGAGCTGTGTCTCTTTCATGTGTTCCAAGGGGATGGAATAAAATGCAGACAATGAGACCCAGGGCTAAGGAGACCGAGACAGAGTAAAGGCAACACAGGGTTTAGTGCGCCGATGAAGCGGTGTCCAGGGCTGCCAGTGACCTACTGATCAGAACACGTGATGAGCACATGAGGGGTGGCTTTAGGGTTGAGGAAGTCGGATCCGTCTTGGCTCCTGTGGGCCTGAGCCCAGGACACTGGCCCATAACGCCTACCTCACCTCCTCAAGATGGTTTCCAGGGGCCATCAGCCAGCAGTTAAAATGTGCTATTGAGATTGCAACACTTACTTCTGCATCCACTCGAGAAACTTCTTCTTTGTCCTGAGCGCTGGCACTGCATGTTTCTCTCCATTCTTAAAATACTTCAATGTAGGAAACTCTGAGATGTGGAATCTTTCTGCCAGGGCCTTGTTGACGGTGGCGTCGACAGCTGCAAGGACACCAGAGCTCTGGGATGGGGGAAAGGCCAACCATGCATTACAGCCTCAGACACGGCGCTGGTGGGACACAGGAGCCCAGACGCTGCCCCCCAAACCCATCCTGGACCTGCCGGAATGTAACTGGGTGGCTAGCCGGGTGGGCTCCTGTATCCCAGGGAAAAACTGAACATTGGCAGGCCATCATTTATCATTTATGGGCTGAGATGAGGTTTTCAAATCTGCCCCACCAGCCACGTTGAATAGATTGGCACCTGTTCCCGTTAGCCAGGGTCCCAGAGAAAAGAGGGAGCAGGCAGAGGTCACCTGATTGGCATGGGAACATGGTTTAATAGTCCCTTTGCCCCCCTCTAAGATCTCATCTGTCTAAGATGTTCTACTTGGGCACAGAGAGGTACTGCTGGCCTCCAGGGACCAGGGGAGCTGTGGCAGGGCTTGCAGGGGAAAGTCATAATGATTTCACCTGTCAGTGATTCTTTCAAAGACAACAGTGATGGGGAAGGAAAGGAAGCTTACATCTGCTTCTCCATGGAGGGCTTCTGCTGCCTTCTCAAACTCCGGCTTCATTTTCTTACAGTGGCCACACCCTGCGGGGAGAGATGAAGAGAAACCACTCTTACGGCACAGAGGCCCTGGGGATGCTCCCCTGCACCGCCTCTGTAAGGCAGCTCAGTTTCATTCCCAGACACTGGCGGTGCCTGGGAGAAAAGCAGCAGCAGCACCAGCTCAAAGAAAAGAAATCTTTTGCTTAATCCCCTGGAAATGGGTCGGGGTAGGGTGAAGGTACCTCAGACACAATAATAAAACAAGTGCATAAACAATACAGGCAACATGTATGCAGCCCTGCTGTGCCAGGTACTGACTAGTGCTTTACAGCCTCATAACAGCCCCACAAAGTAGGAACTGACATTATTTCCATTCCACAGATTGGACAATTGAGGCACTAAGAGGGCAGGTGACTGCCCAAGGCTATATACACAGCTGTGGGTCATAGAGCTGGGCTGAAAACCCAAGCAATCTGTGGGAGGCCCCAGCTGCAGGCAGCGTGTGGCACCATGCTGCGATCACCATCATCATCCTCTCCGGATAGATGGCAGTCTGAGGCCTTGAGCTGGGAATAAAAATTCACAGAAGCAAAAGTATGGGAGATAATTACATTCCAATTGTCCCCATATGACGTGATGGGATTTTCCTGGGATAGAAACTGTTCTGTCCTTTTCTTACAGCCACATGAACATAGTAAGATGTCACAAATAATAAAATTTGATGCATTAAAAAGAAAATAAGCCCTTTGTGTAGATGACAGACCTTGACATTTGTACACTGTTTTCATTTTAATCGAAAGAGTACTTTCTGGCCTGTGATGCTGGAGGGCTGGGAGGTGAGGGGTCTGCAGTCTGGCTCAGGCTGGAGGCTGCTCAGAAGGTGAGCCTGGCTGTGTATTAACCAGGCTCAGTGGATGACAGGTCGTGACTCAACCTTCTCAGGGTGTGCTACTGTGTGGGAGCTGAGAACGCTGTAATTCTACTGATTGTTAGGAAAAGGAAAGACAAGAAGAAAGGAAGACAGAAAGTCAAACAGTATAATCAGAGGAGACCTCCCACTGAGCTATGGAATCGGCTTTCCTGCCTCCAGCTGAGCACCCAGCCAGGATGAAAGCTCCTGTCTCCTCCTCCAGGGCCATTCATGCAGAGCTCAGCTCCAGGTGAGACAGGAACCTGTCTCATTCTTAATCTCTCCATCCCACTCTTGCCTGTACCTGGCTTCCTCCGCTCATCCTCACCCTGTCCCCCCATGGAACAAGGGACCCTGGAGGGGCTACTCCCCACTTAACCAATAATAGAAAACTGAACTGATCATTGAGCTCCCGGGCAGTGCTGTCAAGCTCCTCCTCCGGACAGAGCGCTGGGGACATGGCTTGGTCAAGGGCACTGATCCTAATGGAATGCAGCCCAGGGAGTGGCTACAATTCTCAGCCACACCAACAAGCCAGTCCTTCCCAAATGCATCCAAAAAAGAGGGACACTGCTAACCCTCAAGTCGCAGGATCCACAATAGGAGGAAGAAGAACTGCTGGGGTAGACAGGCACCCCTGCTGCCATTATACAGGGAGCTCCCTACTCCTGTTGGGCTATGACACAGGAAAGAGGGTAGAAAAGGTATCAGCCCTTAGAATCTTCCAGCATAATGACAGAGAGGACCACGGTCTTTGGTCCAGAGGAGAATAGAGTGGCACACACGATGCCTTTAAGGGATGAACCAGAGAAAGAGCACTCCTCACCTGCCCCAGCAGCCTTGGGGGAGACAGCAGCTGCTTTTAGCCCTAGTACGTCTGTACCCACACTACACACTCATCATGTTGGGCTCCAGGTACCAGACACTGACTCTCTAAAGGTGGGGCCTGAGGTTTTTTTTTTAACCTTGTACCTCCCCATGAAGCAAAAGTATCACCATTTAATAGATACACGATAAATATTTACTGGTCAGCAATGAAGAGACCTAATTAAATAGTGAGTAGACAACTCCTGGGGTGACCAGGGGCTTGAGAAGACCTCCCAGAGAACACATGGGGGCAAGTTAGAGACGGAGGACAGAGGGTCCAGTCAGGAAGGCAGGGGCAGCCTCAGAGAAACGAGCATGTCCCCACGCTCAATTCAGCAGCACAGAATCCCACTGCCAGGGCTGAGCAAGGTACGCTGCCCCAAAAGGCACACTGCCCTGCTCCACAGGGCTCCTCTGGGACTGCTGAGCTCGGCCCTGCAGAGGCTGCCCCAGGGCTGGGCAGGCCATCCCGGCTGTTCCTGGCCCGATTCTCCACAGCAGATGCTCTTCATGTCCCCTGCAGTTAGACATTGTGGAGATCATGATCAAAGCTGTAAACCCTTTTCCAGAAAAATGCACCCAGGGTAGGATGATGTTGGGAGCTCACGGACTGACTGGAACCCACTTGGGATACCCCCTTCATGAGCTGTAGAGGTATCAGGGTCATTGTTACTTTGAATTACAAGAATATCACTTTCCAGAAATGAACATTTAGCATAGTCACAAGCCATGTGTCGCCTAAATAATCCAGTTACAGAAGGGCTGTTTTGGTAAGCTGGCTGTTTGTGTTTCCCACAGAAACAATTTTACACACCAATTACACGCAGGTTCCCAGGGGCAACTACAAAAGCCCATTTAATAGGATACACCTGAAACATAAAAGCATGCAGTGCTATTTGTATTTCCCTGAGCCTGCTCCCATTGAGACATGTGCAGCCGGCGATCCAACGGGAACAGCAGACAGGCCCCTCCTTCTAGGCAGCAGGCCCCACCTCTCAGCAGTGAGAGGAGGAACTCCAAGAGGGACCAGGGAGAGCTGGGGCAGGAGTCTGTGCCTCCCAGGCACTGACGTTCTTGAGACTGTCACAAAAGCCACTCCTCCCCTTCCCCACACTGATGCATATACTCCACATGTATGTATAATCCCAGAGGCGTCCTGGACTCTGTGAACTTGCCCACAGACTGGGGTTAGGAGCCCAGGACAGAGGAGGCCACTGGACTCCAAGCCAATCACTTTTCCATGGGAGGGGGAGTGGACAAACACGGAGAGCTGACACACAGGGACCCAGGTTCAGATATCCTTCTACACTGGCCCATGTGTCCGGAGTAAATGGAATACTCTGAGGAAGGTTCTACTGGCTTAATATGAGGTATATTAAGATTAAAAATTATTTTTTGTTTCTTACTAAAATAGAGTGGAGTAAACCATCCTTTGGGGCTATGGTCAGGATGAAAAAGTTCTACAGCTCTTAAAGCGATCTCCCTGTCCTCGGGGTACCTCCAGGTTGCTGCTCCCTGCACCTGTCTGAGGTGAGCCAACCATTCTCTGCTCTCGGGCTGACCTCCTCTGACTGGGGCAGAGCAAGGGAGCTCACCCTGCTTAAACAGACTGCAGGAGAAGGAAGCTCAGAGTCACTCCTGCAGCTGTGGGTCCATCACCCGAGAGTTCAGCCTGCTCTGGAGAGATGTTAGTGTTCCCTGCAAAGTCCTCAAAGCTCCACTGCCTTGAGACAGACTGACTTAGCCCAGCAGTGCATAGTGGAGAACACACAGGGAGGCCTCAGGAAATGCAAGCGTGAGGCTCTGGGTGGCCTCCGTGGGAGGTGGGAGAGGCAGGAAAGACAGGCTCCCTTGACCACTCCCCCCATACCCTCCATGATATGGATGGTGCTGTCAGGCCAGCTGCTGGCAGGGCCCATGGTCAAGGTGGACAGTGGGACTGGAGTAGGAATCAGGGGAGGGGAGACAAAGAAAAGCCAGCCATTGCCACTCACTGAGAATCACTGTTTCTTTCTAAAGTGACCCAGTCGATGTGGCAGGACTCCTGAAGATGGGAATTTACCATGCGCTGGTAGGGAGGTCTACCTCATCTTTTTATCAGGCTCCAGGCCTTTGACGCCACTGCTCTGCTAGGGTGGCAAGTGGGTTCCATTCCACTGGCCAGCTTCTACCAGCAGTGGGCCTGAGACAGAGCTGAGACTGAGAACTGGCTCAATGGGAAGAGGAGCCATGACCACCTTGCAACATCTGTCACAGACATGGGAAGCCAGCTGGGGTCAATACCAGGAGACCTCCAGATTCTGCAGCTTACCCATGTGGCTGTCTCCTGGACTTCAGCCTCAGCTCCCAGAATCCCCCACCTCTATAAGGAGAGCACTAACTATCTGTGCCCGGGTTCCACACACTCTATCGTGGCAGCCCCACCAGACACTTAACACAGTGCAATAGGTCCATTTTACAGTGCCAGAAATTGTGGCTCTGGAAGATGAAGTGACAAATCCCCCAGGGCCATCACCACCTGCCCCCTCTTCCTCCCCGTCTCTGCCCTGATGGATAGGACCTCTCCACAGGCAGCATCCACCCTGGACAACCCCTCGCAATCCCACCTTCGTTCTGGCCCCTGCTTTGAGTCTTCCCAGTTCACTGCAGCCCCATCAAATGATCTGCTTCTCTTCTAATTACAATATACTTCTTATTCAGATATTTCTATGGCATTTAATGCTGTGTTGCTTTGTGACCGTGACACTGCTGTCTTCTGATATTTAAGGGCAACCGCAATATTTTTTCAAAACATCAATCACATCAAATCCCTTTGCTTAAAACTTTCCAGTGGCTTCCCATCACAGGTAGATTCAAACCCAAACTTGGCTACAAGCCCCACACAATTCATGGCTACAAACCCCACACAATCTGAGTTCTGCATACCTTCAAATTCAAGTCAGGTCACTTCTACTGCAGCTTCTGGTTCTCCTTCTCTTCTCCAATTACACCAAGCTAATTTCTACTCCAGCGCCCTGGAACATGTTATCTCCCTTACATGGAGACCTACAGAATCCGGAGGTCTCCTGGTATTGACCCCAGCTGGCTTCCCGTGTCTGTGACAGACTTGCAAGGTGGTCACAGCTCCTCTTCCCAGTGAGCCAGTTCTGGTAGCCAGGTCCATGTGCGGCTCACCCCCCTTTCTATCAGCCACTCAGGCTTCCGCTCAAATTTCACCTTCTAGGAGACCCTCCCTGACCACCTATCTCAAAGGTGCCTCATGCCATCATGCCCTCGCCCAATATCCTGTTTTGCTTTCTTAATTGTACTCAAAGCACCTGGAGTAATCTGCTCACTCGTTTCCTGCCCATCCCCTCAACTGGAATGGAGGCTCCGTATGCACAAGTAGGGGCTCAGCTGTCTTGTCTAGTTGACCACCATATTCCTCATACTGACCACGATGCTCCACACACTTTCTGAATGAATTAACCTCATGACTAGGTTGTTGGGTTTACACCTGTGCACACAGGTTTGGCGGGACTAAATTCTTTACAGGGAAGGTCATGGCTTATACTCAAATAGTTGTTAATTTGACTAAATGCCTCTAATTAGTAGAACTGGCAACCAAGCTGGCTCGTGTGCACATCCCCTCTCCACTTCTCCCCACTACCATTTGTGCACCTCCTCTGCACCTCACGAAGAGAAAAATGTCTCCAAAAATCTCTAACATCTAAGGATCCTGTTCCAAAGTTTCCCATACATATCCTATAGTTCTCTTGATATCGTTAAGGTTTTCAGTTCTAACATCAATTCCCTCTGGCCCTGAATAAGACACTAAGGCTAAGCAATAAACTTCTACAGAGTTTAGGATGAGGAGCCTGGCCAGGCCCAGAGGAGGAGAAAGGTCTGGCTGAGCAAACGCCTCCCTCCCTGACAACTGCCTGTCCTAGGGAGCCACGGGTGATGGGTAGAGCTGGCCGTGACCTGAGCACCAGCCTCCTGGGCCTGGCCTTCGTGATGTCCCTGGCTGTGGGACAGCCAGAAGAGGAGGGTTGCATGAGGGGAGCAGGACTCCAGCCCACTGCATTTCGTGTCCTGATTGTTGATTTGATAGGCCATTAAGTTTTATTGCTAAACTTCCTTGTTGGGCTTTTATCATCTGTGTAAGTGTACTTACTCTGATTTCTGTGATCTGGCCCATCAACTCCTTGATCATACTCTTTTCTGGCTGTGGGAATGTTGGCCTCCTTTCAACCCCAAGCCCCCAGATTCCTCTGGATTTCATTTAAGTCAATTATACTCACAATTTTATTATAGGCCAGCTATGGGGCTTTCCTGGATGCTGGAATCAGAATTTCCCAGGGGATTACATTAGTCTGTAAAGCTCCCTGGTAGCCAGGGTATGGGGGTAGTACTTGGGCCTCTAGAAGAGCCTGGCTCCTGCCTTGCTTGGAATTTGGCTTGGGGCATGCCAGGGAGGGAGGGTTTTCTACAAATGCTAGCAGAAATATGGCTGTGGGGGGCTCTACAGAGACCTCAGCGCTCTTTCAAGGCTTCCGAAATGCATAAGCACCAAAGTGGACTCCTTGACAGTCACAGCCTCTTGGGACTCACTCACTCACAGATGCCTCTGTTCATCAGATGGCCCCTCTTCCTATGCAAAGAGTTTGTTTTTTTCCTTTATGTTAGTGCAAAATGTGGATAAACAAGCTTTTAAAATTTTACTTCCAGGCTTCTATCCTAAGGAAACAATCTGACATGAAGACAAATATTTATGCATTAAAATGTTCTTTGCAGCATGATTTATAATGGGAAATATGGTAAACAAACGTTCAACATTATGATGCTAGTTAACTAATTTACAGTGCCATTATATTATACAATTGAATATTATGTGGACACAAAAAGCATGTACAAAAAAAGCATTTTTAATAACATATGAAAATACCTAAAAGATAATGTTAAGGGGAAAATTTAAAGGAAAAAGAGGCACAGAAAAGACTTAAATAAATAAAATTAGGGCCAGATGCAGTGGCTCATGCTTATAATCCCAGAACTTTGGGAGGTCAAGGTAGGTAGATTGCTTGAGACTAGGAGTTTGAGACCAGTTTGGGCAACAGAATGAGACCTGCATCTCCATAAAAAAAAATAAAAAAATTAGCCAGGTGTGGTAGTGTGTTCTTATAGTCCAGCTACTTAGGAGGCTGAGGCAGGAGGATCACTTGAACCCAGGAGTTTGAAATTATAGTGAGCTATGATCATGCCACCATATTCCAGCCCGGGTGACAGAGTGAGACCCTATCACAAAAACAAATAAAATGAACAAAACAAAGGAAAGAAAATCCCTTCCTCCCACCTGGCACAACAAACAAATGAAAAATACTGATGAATTAAAGAAATACATGTAAAAAACAAAAACATTATAACAAGATATAGGGCACTATTTTTATATCCTAAGGCTGGATTTCCTAAACAACTCACAATCCCAGAGGTCAGGATGGGAGAAGGTAGACTTGCAGAACGGCTCGGTGGTTAGGCGGTGGCCTCTGGGACAGCCTAGGCTTTCATCCTGGCTGCACTTTTTGGCTATGCGATCTCTGGCAAGTTTCTTGACCTCTTGGTGTCTACACTTCCTTACTTATAAAATGAGAATATTTAATCGTGACATCAAATTCACAGAATTTTTTGTGAAGACTGAATGAGTTAAAATATGGAAAGTGCCTAGAATGATGCCTGATCCATAGTAAGTGTGACCAGTGATCAATAAATATAATAGCTATTACTCAGCTACAAAGGATGTAAAGCTTTGTACAATGAAAGGCACCATAAAGAAAGTTAAAGCAAGAAATATATTAACGGCGCCAGGCGTGGTGGCTCACACCTGTAATCCAAGCACTTTGGAGGCCAAGGCGGGCGGATCACCTGAGGTCGGGAGTTCAAGATCAGCCTGACCAACATGGTGAAACCCCATCTTAAAAAAAAAAAAAAAAAGATTAATGGAACATGGAAAACACAGAAAACAGATCAAGATTAGTATCTATAATTATAGATGCCTAGGTCAAGAATAAAAAGACAAACCAGTGTATGAATAGGTGGTCCATGGAAGAAACAGGAAAAGCTGATTATCACATGAAAAGATGTCCAGCTTCCCTAGAGGTCAGAGAGCTACAGACAAGTTGCTCTTTTGCCCAGCTTAGCAGAAATATAAAAGGCAGATAGTATCCATGCTGCAAGGACAGGGGCTCTGTCACACACTGCTGGGTTTGGGAAAACCTTTCTGCAGGGCAATTTGGTAGCATCTACCAAAGCTCAAGCTTACTTACCTCAGGGCCAAGGAAATTCAATATTAGGAATTACTAAAAAATATTTACACATGTTCCCAATTATGTATGTTTACAAATACTAATTGTATTGTTTGAATAGTGAAAAATTGGAGATAAATATAATATCTATCAATAGGGGAATGTTTACAATTTATGGCATATCCAAATTATAAAATCCTATTCAATGGTTAAAAAGACTGAGGTAGATTTATGTGCCAATATCTACATTTACATGAAAATATCTTCAAGAACTACTGGCAAATCAAAAAAAACCAAATCAAAGAAAAATGGATAGAAAGTGATCCTAGTGTTTAAACAACAACAACAACAGCAAACCAACCCCCTGTTGTTTAGGTAGAAGCACTGCAGAAGGAGAAGGATCCATCCTCCACTATGAGTGGTGACCACCCCTGAGACGGGGCGTGGGGTGGGGAGTGAGGGATTCTCACTGTCTGCACTATATTATTATTATTATTTTGAGACAGAGTCTCGAACTGTCGCGCAGGCTATAGTGCAGTGGCATGATCTCGGCTCACTGCAATCTCTACCTCCTGGGTTCAAGCAATTCTCCCACCTCAGCCTCCCAAGTAGGTGGGACTACAGGCATGCACCACCACGCCCAGCTAATTTTTTGTATTTTTAGTAGAGATGGGGTTTCGCAATGTTGGCCAGGATGATCTCACTCTCCTGACCACGTGATCTGCCCACCTCGGCCTCCCAAAGTGCTGGGACTACAGGTATGAGCCACTGTACCTGACCTGTACTATATTCTTATGTAACCCTTGAACTTTGCGCTGCTGATAACAAGAATGCTGTTAATATTATTCTTAAATTATTTGTGCAATTAGAAAATACAAGTGGCCACGTATAGTGGCTCATGCCTGTAATCCCAGCTGCTTGGGAGGCAGAGGCAGGAGAATCACTTGAGCCCAGGAGTTCAAGACCAGCCTGAGCAACATAGTGAGACCCTGTCTCAAAGAAAAGAAAAGAAAAAAACAGAAATAAATGAATAAATAAAATAAAATGATAGCATGAAGGCACTTTGTGGCATGATAGTTACAGAAATCTATACATGTGATTAAAAGGTCAGTGTTATGGTATGTTCATTTAACAAATAAAAGTTAAAAACAAGGGGAAAAATAAATGAAAAAGACTAGCAAGAATGATGCCAAAAAGTAAAAAAGAAAGTGGTTACCTCTAGATAATGGGATTATAGGTAGTTTCTTTCCTTTATCATTTATGTTTTACTATACCTTCTAGATTTTCTACAAAGGTTATATATTGCTTTGAGAATAAGACAAAACTAAAAAGCTTTAAAAAAAAAAAAAAAAGACAGCAGATAATCTTGAGTGTGATGGGGACCTGTTGCCAGAAATAGACCAGCTCCTGGAAAGCAGTCCAGATACCTGCTGGAGGCGAGCTATGGCAAAGAAAACATCTCATCTCAGACCTGTTGCCAAGGAAAACAGGTCGATGTGTCAGAAGGTGCGCAAGGGTAGAGCCATGTGGCCCCCAAGACGCCCTGCAGTACAGGGGAGAGGAAGGGCAGGGGTGCTCAGGATCCCCAGCTCCCACATGGGTGTCCACGGGCCTAGCAGAGATGAGCTGTTCCTCAGGGACACCCCTCCCTGGGATGTCCCACCTGGTCCCTGAATATTTCCACATGAGCCACGCAGCTTGTCCTTCTCCTGCTAATGCAGGCGTGGAGTTACTAGAGAGGGGCAAAAAACAGACAGTGACAAGAGGACACCCACACTCTGACTTCTCTCACACTGAACACTGCAGAAAAACAACAGGTGCCACAGCTGGTAGCAGTCAGTGTCCTGCTGACACACCCTTTGCAGAGAGCATCTCTGTCACCTGCTGCAGGGTAGGAAAACTGGGCCTGGAACTGCACGTGAAGCCCCACTGTGAGGACCAGAGGGAGGTCAGACACAAAGCCTCGCTACAAAGGGGAAGCCATGCGCTAGCAAGAGAGCTTGCTCCTGGCCTTGGGCCCAGGCTCTGTCACCAGCAGCACCACAGACACACCCCTCTCAGAGCCCTCTGCTCACACTCAGCCTGTCCCGCCCAGGAGGCCTGGCCCAGCTCCTGGAGGACAGGACTATGGGGCAAACCTGGCCGTAAATTTCGGTGTGGCCTGCGGCAGGACGGAGATCACCTATATGAAGGACCTAGCATTATGGCTCTCCCAGGCTCATCTATTTAGTGACAACTTAGGCATCAGTTGGAGAGGCCGCTGCAGTATCTGTGGAGGATTTCTAAGGGACTCTCGCTGGGAGAGAGAGAGGGAAGGAAGACAATGGGGAGACCGGGGAGGCTGAGGTGGGAAGTGAGTGGCAGGAGTGCTGGGAAGAGGGTAAAGGGCCAGGTCCTGTGGCATCTCCAGGTCAGTCATCACTCATGGTGATGGGTGACACAGAATGGGGAGGAGTGCCATGTGTCTTTCCTGTCAAGAGCCCAGCAGGGCGGCCTCACAAGTGTCCCAACAGTTCCAGAAAGAGCAGCAAGTGACTTGCCTCTGGAACCTACGGGTGCCAGAGAACGCCCCCCTGGGGCGGCACAGGTCAGGAGGAAAGCTGAAGACCCTTTCCCTTCCTGGCCTTTCTCAGCAGGACTGGGAAAGAAACTAACATTGACTGGGTACTCACGATGGGCATAGAAGCAACAAAGCAGACCAGCTTGGGCAACAAAGTGAGTCCCTCATCTCTACAGAAAATTTAAAAATTAGCCAGGTGTGGTGGCATGCATCTCTAGTCCCAACTACAAAGGAGGCTGAGGTGGGAGGATCACCTGGGCCCAGGAGGTCGAGGCTGCAGTGAGCTGTGTTTGTGCCACTGCACTGCAGCCTGAGTGACAGAGCGAGACCTTATGTCAAAAAAAGAAAGAAAGAAAAGAAGAACAGAAAAAAGAAACAAATAAGCAACACTGGAAAGAAAGACCATGGTTTTCTCTGGGATCAGTATCAGGAAGCATTTTAATTTTCTTCTCTATACTTTCCTATATTATCCCATGATACAATGTACATGCATTGCTTTTGTAATTAGCATAGAGTCATAAAAAATAAATTCAGCTTTTTAGTTTGAGCCCCACTATTTTGGTTTGTTGGGATGCTTCAAAATGTCATTGCATGGTCTGATAGTTTAGCTGGTTAGCCTTTTCCCAAAGCTAAGCCTGCCAACTGTGAAAGCATGCTTTTTAATAGTGTTAACAAAGTTGCTGATTAAAAACAAGTACCTACCCTCTAGACAGACTCAGGCCAGATTCACAGTCACAAAGTATCCAGGGGATGCTTCCCCTCAGGGTAGCTCCATCCTGTCTGATTATCCCCATCACAGTCAGGAAAATAGAAACTCATTTAGTCAAATGTCTTGATAAAAGAAAGACATGCTCATTCATCAAGCTCAGCAATCCAAGAAACAAACCAAGCAGCACATTCAGCAATCTGCAGTAAAAGTTGTGGTCTGCTATGTTGATGGATCCCAATTTGTTTCTGTAAGTCGCTTAAAATGGTCTGTCTCCAAATTACTCCGTATTTGGCCTGGAGCTGACGCCTGGAACACTGTGATTTCCGGATTTCACCCTTTCTGCACTTAGGAACCTGGGATGGTACTGCCGGTCTCCAGCCTCTTCACATTTGTCCTTTCCTCAGGGTCCCTCAAACACTGCAAAAATACTTTCTCAATCACTGGGGGTTCTCGGAAGCTCTGGCACGAGGCACAAAGCCAGGCAGCTAAGACGTCTCTGCTCTTAGTTCACCTGTCCTGAGCTCCGAGCTCCCTAGAAAGCATGTCCATTCCATCCCTTCCTAGGCTAAAGAGCATGCTCCTAGATGAAGGACTGTGTAGAAAGATAATTAATCCAGAGCTATCGCTATCTGACGGGAACATGAATGGGCAGCACATCAGGAAGCTAACCACATGCTTTTACCCTGATCCCTCTCCCTCTGCCAGTCCAGCAGAAATAAACCCACATGTGCAGAGCCATGAAAGGCCAGGGGATAGGTGGGCTCTCCTGACTGGAGTAAAGGACTGGAAGGACAGAAATATGAGGGTGAAGACGCTAGAGGTTCCCAAGGAGGAACTGAAAACAGCCAGCCAGTATCTGCCGTCATGGCAAGCAGGGTGATTTCAGCTCTAGATTCAACATAACCTCCTGCAAGCCTTGCTGCCAACAGCAGCTGTGAGTCCAGCCAGGGAGCATATTTTATAGCTAGGAAGAACACTGCAGTGCTGCCTGGCTGGCCTCACAGCGGGCATTTTTTTGGTACCTTTACCCTCAGGGATGACCTCACCAAGGCCTTAGCAGACCTGAGGCAGATGCTTCTAAGGCCTTGCCATTGTGCTTTATCAGGAGAGGCTCACAAGATGGGGGGTGGGGGTTGAAACTTAGTTTTGGGGGCTTGTTTTGGTCTCTTTTCCAGGAACTCAGAAGAAGAGCCATAGGAAACCTTTCCTTTGGATTCTCTTAAGAATTTAACACGTATAAGAAAGAAAGAGTTAGGAAAATCCATCGTGAGAGTACGTTTATAAACAATTCCCAGGCTAGCCAAACCCAAACCAACAGATACTGTGGGGAACGGGGAGGTGGCCAGGAGGCCTGGCTCAGGCTCTGACTCCGTTCTTCCTGGATCCTGAGGCTCTTGAGGCCTGAGGCAGCTCAGAACTCACGAAGCAGTGAGCAGTCTGTGTCATTTCTCTATGTGACAGTCTCATCTGTAAAATGGGGCTAATCCTACTCACTTTGTGGCACTGTGGGTAAAATGAAAGATGACCCTTCAGGAAGACCATTTGTTATCGCCATAGGGTGACACACAGCTGCTGGCACGCGGACCCTATGATTGAGAGGAGGAATAACATTTCCTCCTCATGAAATATGCCTCTACAGACTAACCACCCTCACGCACTGTGACCTCGCAATTTCAGCCCTGCTCCGTGAGGCACTGACCTCTAGCTTTCCTCCACAATCTCTTATTCACCGTACTCTGCACCCGCGACTGCCATCCCCTGGCCTCACGAGGCCTTGTTTGCCTTCCCAGGGGCAGCCTTGTCCCTCTTGGAAACCACCTATGGTCAATTTTCTACTCTCCATGGGAGCGGGGAGGACACTGGCCCAGAAAACTCAGCCACAGGCCTTTTAGCCCTGTCACAAGCACATTTGATAGCACTTACAGCATTTTACTTCCTTGATTCACTGTGGTCATTTCAGGCTGAGACTGCAGCCAGGTGAAGCACACAGAAGGCATTCTAGATGCCAGGTGATCTGCAGCTCCAGCCTGGCCTCCCCATGCCGTCTCAGCTCCTGGGCAAACACAAGCCCTCCTGCAGCCTCAGCACCCGACCTCTTGTAAAATGAGAGGTGACTACTGCTCTAGATAATATGTTTTTTTTTTAATTAAAAAATTCCTTTAGAGATAGAATCTTTTTTTTTGAGATGGAGTCTCACTCTCTTGCCCAGGCTGGAGTGCAGTGGCAAAATCTTGGTTCACCATAACCTTCACCTTCCAGGTTCAAGTGATTCTCCTGCCTCAGCCTCCTGAGTAACTAGGATTACAGGTGTTGGCCACCATGCCGGGCTAATGAGGCCGGGTCTTGTTTGGTTACCCAGGCTGGAGTGCAATGGTGCAATCACAGCTCACTGCAGCCTCAACCTCCCAGCTTCAAGCAATCCTCCCACCTCAGCCTCCTGAGTAGTTGGGACCACAAGTTATGCACCACCATGCCTGGCTAATTTTTTATTTTTTGTAGAGATGAGCATCTTGCTGTGTGGCCCAGGCTGGTCTTGAACTCATGGCTTTAAACAATCTTCCCGCCTTGGCCTCCCAAAGTGCTGGGATTATAGGCCAGCACTCATATGAGCCCCTATATGAGGCATCAGCCCTAATTTTATTTCCAGGCTCGGTCTGTTCTAGGTAACATCTCAGGGTGCTTCCAGCCTAATTTCTCCAATTCATGCTGACTGGGAGGAAGCTGCTCAGAGCAACAGGTGGTGGAGCCTCACTGAACTCTAGCTAAGTGACAAGTACAGCCTGAATGGGGCTTCTGTGTTGTTTCCATGGCAATGGGGGGTGGGCCGTGTGCATCGTGAGGGTGGAGACCTCGCCTGTCACCACTGCATCCCCTGGCTTAGCATGGGTCCTGGCATCCAACAAGTAAGTGCTTCTTGGGTTCACACTGCGAAACACCACGCTCATCCTACTCTGAGAGAGGGGAGGGTGTGCAGAGGAGGAGCAAAGTTCCACTCACATGGGGCGTGGAACATGACGAGGACAGAGGAGTGTTCCTTCACAAACTGGTCAAAGTCTTCATCGGTCAGGTGATAAACGGAGCCGCCCTCATCTGCCCAGGGAGTCTCAGGGACCTGGGGCTGTGGCGGCTGCGGACTGGAAGACCAAAAACAGGCAGAGCTCAGAGCAGGCCCTGGGGCCTGGGCAGCCCTTCTCACTCCAGCCCCCTTGACATGAAGCTCCCCACTGGCTCAGCATGGCCCCCTCCAGGGGCTCAGCCTTTAACAAACCAGGAACTATCCCCGTGGTAGTGTCATGGGGTGAGTGGTGTGGCCTTGCCCACCTCCACCTTCCCCGCAAAGCCCCAGACAGGAACCTAGTTGATATACTGTTACAAACAGTGGCTTCTGGCTACAGCTCTCTAGATAGCCTAAGGCATCTTACTTCCTCCTGGGAATCTGGGGGCTTGTTAGCTTTCTCAACCTATTTCAAACTTTCAGCAAACTGGAAAGAATAAATAGCAACAGTGAACGATGACCTTTGGAAATGCTCACTGTTGTGTTTAGAACTGCCCACTGGGCAGTGGAGGGGAGGAAGAGGGCACAGAGAGGAGGGATGAGGAGGAGAGAGAGAGGCCAGGTACCTGAGAAAGATCAGATCTAGGCCAGGCAAGGGGAAGCTGCCACATGGGGGTGCAGGGGAGTTCACCAAACAGCCTCGGGGGAAGGTCGCAGTGAGGGAAGCAAAGCTGAGGGTATCCTAACTATGACAGTGTGTACGCTACATCACGAATCCTTCCCAGAGGCCAACAACCAACTTATTTAGTCCTCCCAGAAGCCAAATCAACTCCACTAGTCATCAGCTGCAAAACCTTAGGCAGCCGCTTGGCCTCTCTGGAGCCTGTTTCCACAGCGTGACTGTGACCGTCCTTTGTCACCATCTGCTAGGAGGAGGGAGGCTCACAGGGGCCCTCCCTTGCTCCAGAGTTCAGGACAGGGTGGCTGGCGGTGACATGATCTCCTTGCTGCTTTACTGTCACAAGTACCTTTGCCAGAGCACCTTAATTGCAGCTTTGAAAAAACCCTCGAGGATGACAAATGTGAAAAGACAACCATTGTGTCTCAACTTTGAGAGCTTACAGGAGGAAAAAGTCTAAAGTTCAAGCAGCCAGGGCTGTATAATCCAGAGACAGCGAAGTGGCTGACACAGTGGAATCTGCCACCTCCTTCCCTCTGCAGAAGCCTGGGTATGATGTCGCCTTCAGAAGCCCTCTCTGGCCCTTCTGACTGGGCCCCACTAGCTGCCACCAACTCCCAGGTCCCAAGAAATAGAATGAGGCAGGAAAGGGCAAATCAATCTCAGCCAATGCATATCCAATGTCAGATGGGACTGGTGACAAAATCAAGCCTCAGAATGAATCACCAGCCAGACAATGGTCCCAGACAAACATCATGCAATCTAGGTTCCTATACCTGGGCTCAAACAACTGACCCCTCAGAACACCACCAATTCCACTTCAGAGCAATTTATCTTTACAGTACACCTGCACGCATACAAAATTATGTGCATCCAAAGGCATCCACTGCAGGTTATTTGTCATAGCGAAGACTGGAAGGACGGGTTAGGTGAACTGCTGTCCATCTACACCAGGGAGGGCTGAGCACTGCAAACAATGATGTTCTCTACACCGTGATGTGGACAGACTGCTGGAGATAGATGGAACAGTTTAGAATTTGCTAACTTTTGCATTAAAAGGGGGGAGATAAAATATACTCATTCCCATTTGCTAGTATCTACATAAACACCCTAAGAACATAAAAGAAACGGGTCTAAGTTGTAATTGTAAATTCTAGGATATGGGAGGGAGAATAAGAAAAAGGAAAGAAGTGAAAGTGAGGCTTTTGAACGTATTCCTTTTAAACATCTTAAAATGGTGCCAGCCTGGGCAAAAGAATGAGATTCCATGTCTACAAAAATATGAAATAAAAAAATCAGCCGGGTATGGTGGCCTGTGCCTATAGACCCAGCTACTCAGGAGGCTGAGGCAGGAGGATCGCTTGAGCCCAGGAGTTCAAAGCTGCAGTGAGCTGTGACGGCACCCTCTGCACTCCAGCCTGGGTGACAGAGAGAGACCTCATTTAAAAAATAAAAATAATTTTAAAAATTGAATTCTGCGCATGTAATCGATTCAAAACTAAATTTTTAAAAAGTCCAGCAAGAGCACAAATATGGGATGGAGAAGCCATGGCTTAGCAGAAGGGCAGGCCCAGGAAGGAAAGAAACAGAGGAACGTCCAGCCAGACATGGAGGCAAAATAACAGTTCAGGAGTTTTAAAAAAAAAACTTTCTGAGTGGAAAAAGCAGAGTAGGGGCTCAAGAACCACAGCCACACAGAAGACAATGCTCTGAAGGGCCTAGGGACCCACTCCTTGAGGCATAGCTACAGCCTAGGGCTGAAAACAGGAGGTTCAGCTGAAAACTGGAGTGGTCAGGTCCTCAGATTCTAGGCCACTCTCCTCTCCTACCCAGGAGGTGAAGTTTCTTTTTGGGAGAGGACTGCAGAACCGGGCACCATGGTAAAAGGATGTACTGGGAAGAGACGGACTGAGTGGGAGTCTGAACCCAAAACACTGAATGATGCTTTTCACCCCAGGCAGTGAGCTCCTTGAAGAGCACTCTCTCACCTCTTTACTAACTCCTGCACCCAATACACAGCAGACACCCAATAAATGCTCATTGAATAGAAGCATTCCCTGAATGAGGAGAAAATGGCTTAAGGAACTGGAAGTGTTTAATTTGGAGACAGGATGTAAAAGAACTCAGTAGCTATCGTCAAATATTTCAAACTGCATTAAGAAAAGAAATTAAGATTTATTTTCTAGGGCCCTGAAGAGGAGAACCAACACTAACAAGTGGAAGCTCCAGAGAAAGAAACTGCAGTTCGAGGTAAGTAAGAATGTTCTGTCTACTGCAGGGGAGAGGGAAAGAAGGCCAAACTAGGAGTCAGCAGACCTGAGCTTGAGTCCTGTTTCCTTCACTACCCACAATCCAACAGCTTCAAACAGCCAAAGGCAGTGCATTTGTGGTCCTTTCTTTACTGCCTCTCAGCTCAGCTAGACAGAGAATAGATGTGAGATGCTTTGTAATTTTATAAAGTACTACCCAGATGTTCCTAGATACCATTTATCACCTAAATCATAACAGTCATTCAAGCATGAATGGGCAACCTCAGAAGGAGTCCAATGGGAGTGAGGAAATGCAAACATTGAAAGGAGAATGACTGGGGCAGATTTGATGACTTTATGTTCCCTTCCGATTCGCTTTCATGCGACTGATTTCATGAGCTCTGCAGTTTAGAGATAGTAATTGGTCCCAGGCTCCCTAGGACTGGGAGGGCCATACAATCAGACCTTTGTCTAAGGGAGATGTATGTGCCATAGATGAGAAGATGCAAGTCTAACCACTACGAGTCCAGAAAACTTGGTGTTTATAAATTCAGTTCACTTCTGGTTGGTATAAAGCTACACAGGCCAAAATGGCCCTGCCCAAAATGGATTGCTGCTTATGCATCCTTCCACCTGTCTGCTAGACCAACTCACCAGTGACAGCTTCAAGGGGCCAGTGAGATATGTGGCCATTAAGGGCACAAAAGGCACCAGCGCCACAATCAATGCATCTACTCCAGAGTCCTCACACACTCAGACGCCAGGGGCTGACTCTCTGCCCTGCCTCACCTGGTGCCACCCTTCCCCAGCCCAACCACCAGAGTCACGCATTGAAGGGTGGGACCTAGGGACTTCTCTCCTAGGTGTTTGAGAGCCATCTGGAGAATTAGCAAGGCTGGGTTCACCCTCATCTTTCTATACTTGTTTGCACAGAAGCCCTGAGCAGCTAAGGGCCAACGGAGAAACCTAGTGAAACAGGAAAGGTGAGGTCACTACTGCCCACCAGGATCTGAGGGGAAACTGGAAAAGGCTTAATACAAGTGGGACCGGAAAAACCCACAGGCAGAGCTGGATCTGCATAGGGGAAATAATACCACAATATGCTATCTTTGGGTATAGGGTTTGGGAGGACTTTTTGTTTAACCACACTTTTAGGTTTTTCTATAATAAGCCTATCTTAGTTGAGTATCTCTAAAATCAGAAAAGATTTTTAAAAATTAAGCCAGTTGGTAGCAGAGCAACATTGCTAGCTCCTGCAGGGGCTAAGGCTGTTAACAACAGCTCCTTCCCTCCCACGATGGGAGATGGGGGGAAGTAGGAAGTGGGGATGTGGTGCCCGGGACCAGAGTCTGGAGGCAGCTGTGGGGTGCAGGCCAGCCAGAGCAATGCAGGTGGGGGAGCTGAGATGGGGTGCGCCGGAGGAGAGGGGTGGGAGTTTGGGGAAGGAGACTCCACTGGGGAGATAATAGCCTGTTTCAAAAACGCCATGGATGTGCTCCCTTTGTCTAGGGTTAGCAGGCAATTCTGAACACTTAAAAAAACCCCACAAATTGTATCCTTCCAAAAAAGATATGAGGGTGTTTTGAAATCAGAAAAGGTTAGAAAAGGGAAAGAAAGCAGACAGATTTTATGCTCTAGTGACAAATGAGATTGCTATTTGTTGAGACATTCTCCCAAAGCAGAATGAGATGTGTCTGCCTGGAGGAGAGGACACGCTTATTATCAAATGAAAAAGGAAAACAGTAAAGCAAAGGCCCAGGTTAAGACAATGAATACATGATCATGGGCAGCAGCCTTTCCAGGCGGGGGCTAGAAATGAGGTAGCCGATGGGGACAGAGACGTGAGAATGCTTCCAAGAAATAAAAGACACGAAGCAAACCTGTGGTAGCACTTGTGTCATATCTCCCGGGCCCCTGGGAGTAGGCAGAACAGAAGAGGGAGATTCTCCACCTTTAGAAATCTAACAGTTTCATGTGCGTTTTTTTTTTTTTTTCCTTTCCTGATACAAAATTTACCCTTCTTTCCCATTTTGAAAATACACATTTTCAACCTCCATGTCTTTGGATAACTGATTCTTTAATCCTGGGGTTTGCACACTGTGTCCCTAAGGTAATGATGTCAATAAATATCTACTGTGCTGGCAGCCGTGGGGAAGGGTTCCGAGCAGAACTCAAAGAGGCTGAGGTGGACTGTGGGGGCTGCAGGGAGCTGGGCCGGTGGCAGGGATCCATTAGGGCCCTGACACTGCCTACCAGCAGCACCACCCGCCTCACTGTGCCTCAGGACCTCATTCATAAAATGAAGAGAACGGTAACATCTTCCTTACAGTGCTGTTGTGAGGATTAAATGAGAATCCATGTAAAGTGCTTAGAACAGTGTCGGCCACAAAGGAGATTGGCTGTTGTTATTCCAACGTGTGTGCACAAATACCCACGAAGCAGCAGCGGCTGGTAAGTGCCAAACTCGTGACACACAGAGCGCAGCCTGAAGAGGGTGTGTGCTCAGTGAGGGTGGCCTGGGGAGGCTTCCAGAAGAGGACATCGTGAGCCTGTGGTGGAAGAGCTCGTGAGAAGCAGGAACGGGGTGATCCGGCAGGACAAAGCAGCAGGCCTAGCACAGTGGGGGCTCCAGGTAAGCGGGCAGCGGCCAACAGGGTGGTGGAGTTTGGCATTACAAGGGTCTAATCACGTTAAAACAGGGATCACAGGTTGCTCTGAAGCCACGCCTGTGGGGCCTAAACAGCAAAGCACTCAGCAAACCTAAGGCATTAGAATATTTCTTAGTACCTTCATAGCACCTAAGACAGTGCTGTGTTTGAAAGAAATGTTCAACTGACAATTCTATTTTCAGAGAAACCTGCACTGGAACCTCTCTCAAACCTGGTATCCTGGGTGAGAAAGACCTCTATCCATCAGATAGATGTGTCGAGGAGAAACTTGATGTGAAATGTGGGAAGATTTCAGAAAGGCCCTGACTATTCCAGAAGAGCTGATAGGCTTAGGCAGCCCCTCCCCAGTTTCAGTCCATGGAGAAGGGAGGTAGGGGAGACAGACTCCCCACCCAACACACCAGGCAGGTCTGATCATCACAGGCCAAAGTCACACCAAATCCTCACGGATCCTGCAGCCTAAATTCCCGCAATCCCCATAATGACCTAGACTCAAGCCAGAGACAGCTGTGGGCCATACCACAATTCCCTTCCTCGTTCTCTCCCCCAACTACCAGCCAGAGCCCTGCGGCCCTCAGGCCCAGCAGACACCCCGCCTTCTGGATCCATGCCCCCCAACACACACACACACACACAAACACACACACACACACACGCAAGCGTGCGCGCGCGTGTGCCCCACTTACTTCTTCAGCCACTCCACGATGTCCTCGGCTGTGGACCCATAGTTGTCGTACTGGAACAAGAACCTTCCTTTCCTGTGAAATGTGGAGAAACGACGTGGGCTCAGCCAGGGATGCAAATGCCACCCTGAGATTATGGTCAATTACCAGGGAAGGAAGTAAGCTTTAGAAGGAAAGTGGGGGACATACTCAAAATAGCAGATGGTGGGGTAGCCGCGCACGCTGTATTCCTCCTTGATGTTTTCAAATTCAGAGGAGTGGACATTCATCCCAGCCAGCACCTGGGAGGAAGCGGAGAACAGCCGTGAGGAGCCTGTGCCCCACAGACACCCTCTGATCCACACCCATCTGTCCAGCTGCTCTCCCGCCAGAAAGACATGCAGGACAAAGCCCCACAGACCAATGTGCATCAGGGCTGCTGGGAAACAAGGCCAGTGAAGCCAGCTGGGAAACACCACCTGACGCTGGAGAAGGCAGGCAGCTTGGCCGAGTGCTGCACTCCACACACCTGCTCCCTCTGCCTCCCTGCAGGAGGAACCACCCCAGAGCAAAGCCAATGTTCTGAGGGTTGCGGAAGAAGCCTGACCTTGCCACCAAGTTCAAACTGCTCTCAGAGAGGGGCCACTGCCAAGGATGTGTTACGCCTATTTCTCTGCTCATGTCAACTCAAGTTGTATTCTTTCCTAATAAGTGGCTTTTGTATGCCCATTCAGCTCTGCACAACATCCTTACACACCCTCCTGGATACTTCACGGTTTGCCCACCTAGGCTTGAGTGTGATGTTTTCAAACCTCACAGCTCATATGTGGCCAGGGAGGCCATGTGGCTCTTATAACACAACATGAGAAACGAGGTGCCTTCCTAACTCTCCTCACTTCAGGCCGTGCTGTGCCTCCCCGGTGTTTCCTCCTGTCGGTGACTACCCGCAGGCTGCCTGGATTATCATCTCAGAATTCTGAACATATTCTGACTCCAGATGTTTACCTGTCCACTATCCTTGAATCAGAAAGAATATTTTAGTAGCTGGGTAACATGAGGTAGCTAAACACTAAGACTGACTCACAGAATCCCCTAAAACTCCATTTCCTGAAGCAGGAACCTTCTTCTCTAGGGATGGATCAGGAACTAGGAAGGAGGAGTCTGTAGAGATTAAAAACAAATTTTTTTTGGAAACAGGGTTTCACCCTGTCACCCAGGCTGGAGTGCAGTGGCATGATCATAGCTCACAGTACAAACGCGCTGGGATGACAGGCATAAGCCACCATGCCCAGCCAGGACTTTGAAACTGCTCTCACCAGAGAAGGTAGCTAGAATGGCCAGACACAGGAAGGCTGCTCCACAAAGCAGAGTGCCATAGAAGTGAGGGAAAAGTAAGCCAAAAAAGCCAACAGCAGTTGTAGAAGCAGAGAGAAGAAACCCTGCACAAAATCTTCCAATTCCATTGAATATAGGCTAAAATCCAGCTCCATAACTCTAACTCCTGGGCTCAAGCAATCCTCCCACCTCAGCCTCCTCAGTAGCTGGACCACAGGTGTGTGCCACTATGTCCGGCTAATATTTTTTTTTCTTTTTGGTAGAGACGAGGTCTTGCTGTTGCCCAGGCTGGTCTCCAACTCCTGGGCTCATGCGATCCTTCCACTTCGACCTCTCGAAGCACTGGGATGACAGGCATGAGCCACCATGCCCAGCCAGGACTTTGAACCTGCTCTCAGCAGAGAACACAGACAGAATTGCCAGACACAGGAAGGCCATTCCACAAAGCAGAGTGGCATAGAAGAGAGAAAAAAGTGAGTCAAAAAGCCAGCAGCAGTTACAGAAGCAAAGAGAAGAAACCCAGGAAGCTGAACTTTACTGACAAATATACAAGGACACATAGCAAGAGAAAAATAAATAGTGGTTTCAGTGGACAATAACTTGATTGCAAAGACAGCTTCCCCCTATGAGTCATGTGACCTTGGGCAAGTCACTCACCCTCACAGAGGTCCCTTGCTGGAAGATGTGACCATCACAGGACTCTTTAGAGAACTAAATGAGATGACCTCTGTCAGAAGTTTCAGCACAAAACTGGAGCTCAGTAACGGTCATCTTCCTTACTTCCTACCGAGTCTTCCTGGTGATAGGAGCCACTGTGCCTCTGGCCTCTCCAACCCTAGAGGCACCCGGATATCTTTCCAATTGTCTCAAGTCCCTAGCACAAGGCCTCACATACAGCAGGCACACAACAAATGCTCACTAAATCACTGATTTTTTTTTCCTAGCCAATTTTAGGATATAGCAAATAATACAGGAAGAACAAATTTGAATTGAATTTACTTGAAGCCCTGGAACGCTCTGTAAAAGTCATTCCGCTCATTTCCCAGACTGCTCCAGTGGCCTGTTCCAGTAATATTTGTCTACTTTAAAAGTCCTTTTCTTTCTGCCTAATTGATCTCCCCAATGTCAGTGCACATTCACTACAGATTAATCTCCTCGCTCATTACATCACTTCCCTGCACAAAACCTTCCAATTCCATTGAATATAGGCTAAAATCCAGCTCCATATTCAATGCCCATATGGTCCCTATTTCATATTTGAATCTTTCTTTCTTGCAAAACTCTTCATTGTACACCTGCTAGGGTCTATATTTTTTATTCTCCCAGGAACGAGACAGTCTGAGATTTCTGCACAGGAAGTTGGACCGTCTGCCTTCTCAGACATCTTGCCGAGTGCAGCAGCAACATGGCACAGTGGCTGGAAGCATGGGCTCTGGATGCCTGGGTTTGAGTCCCAACTCTCCACGAGGTCATGCGTTTCCTTGAACGAGCATGACCTCATGGGGAGTCAGATGTCAATAACTGGCAAGGCTGGGAAGAGGAGGCAGATGGAGACAGGGCTTGTTCTGACCGCTGCTCTGAGACAGGGGGCAGCATGGTTGCTAATGAGAATGTCAACTAGCAGGAGCAGATGGAACAGAGGTGATGAGTCACCAGACGTCAATGACACAAAAAAGAGGCAGCCCTAACTTTGGAAATGGCAAAGGCTGTGCATCCCTGACCTGGCATGCCTTCCTTCCTAATGATATCATCAGGTTGAATACCTCCCAAGAATTCTGTAGAGGAGGAAGATTTTTGACCCTTGCCAGAGACAGAGCCAGCCAAAAAGGCTCAAGGATGACAGAGATGAAGAGGAGACAGAAAGCCCTAATCCAGCTGTGTTTCAGCAGTGGGGAAGGGGTGAGCTTTGATTTCTGGGGAAGAGTGGCCCATTTCTTAGTCCTACCTCTTCTCTGTGTGTGAAAACAAAAAGCAATTGATACCTGTGGTCACTCAACCCCTCCAGCCCAGTCCCGTTTCTGGGGAGCTGCCACTGCAGAGTAAGCCCTAGCCTCTAGGGTCCTCTTGTGTGGGTGATGCCTGTAGTGGCCAGGGCCCTTCCCCTTTATGTAGCTGGGAAAAGGATAGAACTTTCCAGAAGATGCTTTCCTAGGCAATGAAGGGGAAAATTGAATAAAACAAACCCCAAGCAATACACAAACAAAGAAATGAGTTTACCCAACCCAGATGCCTTAGGTCAAGGCAGCCAATACCTGGTCACAGCTTGACTTGCCCAGCTTCGTAGACAACACCCCTGACTTTTCTGTAACGTTGAGGGAACTGGAAGAGGTAACTTTTATATTTTCTAGACCTGGGCCCAGGCAGAAGCTGGAATTCATTTTTTCTTTTTTTAGAGACAGGATCTTGCTCTGTCACCCAAAGCGTGGTACAGTCATAGCTCACTGCAGCCTTGAACTCCTGGGCTCAAGTGATCCTCCCACCTCAGCCTCCCAAGTAGTTAGGACTGACTACAGGCATATGCCATTGCCCTCGGCTAATTTTTAAATTTTTTTGTAGACACAGGGTCTTACTATGTTGCCCAGGCTGGTCTCTAGCTCCTGGCCTCAAGTGATCCTCCCGCCTTGGCCTCCCAAAGCACTGGGAATACAGGTGTAAGCTACCATGCCCTGCCAGAAACTAGTATTCTTAACACAAGTGGTCTTCGGGGTTAACCTTTTAACCTGTCCTACAAATGTCCTTCCCACTATGCTTCTGTCCTTAATAACAAATGCTTGGAATTCCTTTAAAAGAAAGGAACATTACTCTTAATATAGAGCTTAAAATAAAACATGGGAGTGATGAGCCACAAGCCTATTCATTCATTGGCATATACCAGGTATCTACTGTGAGCTTGGTCCTGTGGTATGTGCTAAAGAAACAGACATGAACACAGCTCCTGTACCTAAGAAATTCACGTATCATAATTAGTACCAAGTGGTGAACAAAGTGATCTGGAACAAAAGCAAAGATGAACATATCTGGCTGTGCATGGCAGGGACAAGCTCTGTGGCAGCGTAGGAGGGGGCCTGGACGGATACTGAGTTTGGCAGTGGATGCATCGTTGGCTGAGAATGGCTCACAAGATGTATTAGACCAGCGTCAAGCCCTTTTGAGATCGGCATCAAGTCCTCTTCTGCTTCAGTGGGTTTGGCCGGGATAACATGTGATCTGATTTGCAGCTAAGCTGTTTACCTTCCGCAGCAAAGAATTCGGGAAGTTGAGCTGAGCAGCTTTCCAAGTGTATGCAGGTGCAGGCAGAGAGAACACTGTGGGTAATTAAGTCTTTTCTCCAGGCTAAATAATCTTAAAATATGGTATCTATTGAGGTCCCAATAATTTGAAGTGAAACTTCCCTGGAGTGATGTATGTGTGCCCCAAGGCCAAACGTCTCCAGGCAAGTTGCTAAAAATTCATTGGTGAGAAGCAAGTACCTCAGTGTTACCCCAAAATGAGGTCAGAAGAGAAAGCACTGGTTCTCTGCAGCCCCATCTTGCAGCTGGCGAGTGGGGCCGTCTCCATGCCAGGTGCTGCCACTTCAACTTTTTAAGTTGACTTTGAGCTAATCACCACTTAATTTGATCCACAAAGATCATGATTCACAAAGATCAGGGAGTTTCTCAGATCTCCCCTAATGGGTCTTTGGCCACACCACTGAGATGGCTTCTCTTGATAACCTTTCATGAAAGATGTATGGATTTTTCCACACTCCCTAGAGGAGCCGGCAGCTGTTTTCATGTTGCCATCAAAACAAGACACTTCTGCTACTCAGGGTAAGTGCAAAAATGGACAAACAGATATCTGAAAGAATTAGAAGCAGGATCCCAAAGAGGTACTTGCACACCCATGTTCATTGCAACATTATTCACAACAGCCAAGAAAGCTGGAAGCAACTCAACAGATGAGTGTATAAAGAAAATAGGATGGTAGGCACATACAATGGAATATAATTCAGTCCTAAAAAAAGAAGGAAATCCTATGACATGCTACATGGATGAACCTTGAGAATATAATGCTAAGCAAAATAAGCCAGTCACAGAAAGACAAATACTATAGATCCCACTCACATGAGTACTTAAAATAGTCAAAATCACAGAAATAGACCCGGCCAGATAGCACACACCTGAATTCCCAGCCACTCAGGAGGCTAAGATAGGAGGATTGCTTAAGCCAGGAGTTCATATCCAACCTGGGCAACATAGTGAGACCCTGTCTCTAAAACAGACAAACTACATATATAAACATAGACACACACATAGAAACAGAAAGTTGAAAGGCAGTTTACCAAGGGCAGGGGTGAGGTGGGAAGGCAGAATTCATATTTAGTGGATATAGAATTTCTGTTTTGGAAAATGAAAAAGTTCTAGAGAAAGGTTGCACAACAATGTAAATATACTTAATGCCACTGAACTGTACATTTAGAAATGGCTAAGATGGTCAATGTAATGTTACATGTTTTTTACCACAATGAAAAAATTATAGACACATGGCAGAGAACCAAAAAGCCTGGCAGGGTGGAGGAACACTGAGGTAGCAGGGAGCATTTGGTGACCGACTTTTGGCCCTTCTGGGTGAAGTCTGTGCCCCTCACAGCTCTCTTCTCCCCTGAACACTCCAGGCTCCCCTCCGACCTCTCCGCCCCATCCCAGCTGCTCCTACTTCTCTGAAGGCCTGTTTCCTTAGTGGCTTCTCTTTCTCCTCCTGTTCCCTAGAGGGAGGCATCCCTAGGACACACGTGTCTCCATTCTGCCTATTCTTCCCTACACTCCCTCCTGGAAGAATGCCTGATTCCCAGGTCTCTCACTCCCATCCAGATCTACCTCCTCCAATTCTGGTTTCCACCGTTCTCCCTGCCCTACAGGAACCACAGAGCCTGGGAGGCCTGGATAAGGCGCTGCCTGTGTGAGCCCGCTTTATGCTTCTGGTCCACCCCTGAGGTCATTGCACCCTCTTCTTTGCGACTGGGCTCCACAGCAGCTGCCTCAGCTCACTTGGAGCCCAGGTCTCAAAATTCTGGACCCACGATGTTCTGACTTTGGTCCCTAGCTCCCTGACAATGCCACATGTGCATCTTGCTGGTGTCCTGTTTAATCACTGGCCTTTGGCAGGTGTCAAACTCTCCTGATCCCAGCAACTTGGTAGAGTCCTCAACCTTCACAGAGAACAGGTCTCTGAGCTTCATGCAAGGCTTCGGTTCAGCAACGGCCCAGACAGCAGGGTTAATCATCCTCACCATCTCAAAACCTGCCCCGTACCCCCGACGCAGCACCCTTCCCCTGCCAAGTCCAAGACTGGCCAAGCCCTGCTGGACAATGGCGCCTCACTTACAGCGTGGCCTCGTAGCTGAGTCGCAGCCTTCTGGAAATGTGGCATCATCCTCTTGCACATGCTGCACCCTGGTCACAGGCAGGAGAGAGACCACATCTAGTTACAGGGATGGCTGGGCCCTCACACCCTGCCCTGCCTCCCCATGGCCATCCTCCACCCGACAAGCACTTATCTAGGCTTGAGAAGCTCAGGACCATTCTAGATCCCAGGTACACAAAAGGAACAGGAGGCGGGAGTCCCAGCCCCCAAAGAGTTTACAGTCTCGGTGGAGCAAAACAAGGCACTGCCCGGCAGCCACTCATAAATGATGGACTGAAGAAACAAGCATGACACCAAGGGAGAAGAGCAGAGTCCAGAGTACTGATAATGAGGTCAACAGAAATTCAGAAAACCAGTACAGGTGTTAAGAGAGCAACTGCTACCTGCACGGTGAAAAGCACCCCTCGCTGCCCAGGAAGGGCCTGCCAATGAGCCAGAGTCAACTGCCATTATGAAGAAAAATGTGTGACCACGAATACTATCACTTTTGGTATTTCCAGGCCTCCTTTCCCTTTCATTAACAAGGATAATTAAGCAATGACCAGAGGCAGGCTGAGCGTGAACAGCACTGGCTCTGGCCTGTGGGATGAGCGACAGACCAGGATTCTGGATGCCACACAGGCTCTGATCTTCACGCAACTTGCTGCAGGCCTTGAGAAGTCACGTCCTCACCCTGGGCTGTTTCTTCTGGCAGATGAGGGAGGCTGAACCACAAAACCTCAGGCCCCTTCCAGCTCTGAGAGCAGAGGATTCTGTCTGCGATGGCCTTGGATCAGCCCTCCAGGGCTCTGTGTTGCACCATGGTCACACCCCTCTCCTGGTGGTGAAGACCCCCAGCCTTGGTTGGGGGTCTTGAACTCCTGGGTTCACTGTGAAGCCATAGTGGATGTTTGGGACCCTGCCTTTCTAGTTGGGGACTCCACAGAGTGACCTTAAACTCCTTCCCTTAAACCAGAGCAGACTACGTTTCAGCACTGATCTCACAGGACAGGAGCAATTTCCTCTGCTACAAAACAGAGTTTAAGATGCATGTGAAGACCACAGGAACCAAAGCTGCCTGGAACCATGTGTCAGGCTGGTTCTCATCTCAGCTTGGCACAGCGGGCATTGGGGCCACGTGGCGACAGGCAATCCAGCTCCAATCCATGCTTAACTGACACCTATGCAGGATATGAAGCCAGAAGGCCAACATTCCTGCTGCGCCACCAGAGCCTCCCCAGCACCAGGCCTATTTGGCCATGAGTCTCCCAAAGTGCCCAGCGGCCCCCTTCTGATATTCCTGTCTAACAGATGGACTCACACACACCCCAGTACGTGATCCCTGGGCTTAAGTTCTGCCATCGGTCCTGGCAGGAGAGAGGGGCTGTTTTGAGGCCAGCCTGCAGTGTGAGCCCGTTGCATCTGCCCTCAGAAGATAAGACGTGCCTCTCCTTGGGACCTGTCACCAAAATGCGAACACCACCAGGGTCATAAAGAAAGGAATATGACACTTGTCAGGGGCATTGTCCTCACTGTGGGGATTCGGAGAGAGGAGAGTAGAAGCAGGAACAATGCTCCAGGGGGAAGTCACTGGGTAGAAAATAGGAGGCTGCAGATGGCGCAGAAGAAGGAGCTCAGCTCTGGGAAGAACAAGACCGAGACCAAGGTCTGCGTCTCCCCATGATCCCTGTTGGCTGGGTGATCCTGGGCAAGTGCCCTGGACTCTCCAAGCCTCAGCTTCCCTATCTGTGCCGTGGGAATAGGTACCCTGCAGGTGTTGGACAGAGCTGGGGAACGTTCAGTGCCTGCAAAAACATCTTAGTTCAATGCCAGGTCTGAGAGCATGCTTCCCGGTCCATGGTGCAGGAAACACTTCCACAGAGGGAAGAGGATGTCACTCCATCCCCAGGAGGGAAAATAAGGGGGGACACTTGCAGCCTCTCACTCATTCTTGACTCAGTGACTTGAGACTGACACCCGCTGGGCCACATTCATCTACCAAGACTCCTCAGGTGTGGCCTCTCTCTTCCTGTTCTGCCTGTTTGCAGCCTGCAGCAACAATACACCGAAACAGGGGATGGGGCGGCCAGCTGTCCCTGAGGGCAGGGCCACCAGCACTCGGCGGAGAAGTTATTGGGTGGGGGGAGAAGTGATGGAGGAGGTGTGGGAAACCACAGGCCAAGCCAGTTTCCAATTTAACTTTTCCAAAAGTAGGGCTGGCCCTGTGATTTCTGAGTTAATCTTCCAGCTGATTCCACTGGGAGGCAGGGGGAGAGGTAAGACTAATTATCACTCTCAAACCCCAAAATTCAGAGTAGTCAGCCTTTTCATTTTCTAATCAATTCAGTGAGCAAACATCCCCCGAATAAAGCGGTAGATCCTGGGGAGCCAGGTTCCTTGTCACCGCCGAAGGTTCCCACTGCCTTTGGGATTATTCACCCCACACGTGACCAAAGGTTCACAGAGTCCTAGCAGACATCCCTGTTAGGGAACTGCTGGGTATCCCAAGAATCAGCTGAATTGAGATACCAAGAAGGCTTGATTAGACTAGAGTGCCAAAAGCACAAGTTTGTTTCATGTTTTAAAAAACCATACATACATGCATAATCAAAAAAAGAGTCCTGAGTTCCTTGGGACCTAGGAGTCCAACTGATCTGACCCTCCACCAAAAGTTTAACTTGACCTCCGAGTTTTCTCCTCCCTCCCCTACCACAAATAAGCTTTGTGACTCTGTGAGGTACTAACTTCCCTGCCCCAGCTTTCTCTTCTGTAAAGATAACTGTGCTCACATCTCTGTTGTGAAGAGTGGGATGAGCACACTGCCACACAGCCTGGATGCATGGCGGGGAGAGGGCGCAGAACACAGGTGCAAACCTCCAGTGCACTACTTCTAGATAACTAGAGATCTGCCTGGTTACACTCGGATCCTGTCTTGTGGCACTCCATTTTCTAGCTTCATTTAAACAATGTGTTGAGTCCTGAAGGGCTTTAAGATACACCAAAGAAGGCCCATCCTCTAGGGGCTATGTGGGCAGGATAATTTCTAAAGCAATTCGCAGCTGGGTACTTAATAATATTCCTCCAAGAAGAAACCAAAAGGGGTGAAACCAACTAATGAACATTAATAAAGAAGAGGAGTGAGGGTTAAAGTAGCTACCATTCAGGTCAGAGCTGGATTTACAGCAAGTGAGACACCAGGGCCTCCTCCCAAAGGCAAGCACAGCCCTGGGGGCAGTGAGGAGGCCTGGGGAGGAGGCTGGGGCTGGAGAACTCCCAGCAATCAAAACAGGAGTCGGGGGCCGGGTGTGGTGGCTCACACCTCACACTTTTGGAGGCCGAGGCGGGTAGATCACCTGATGTCAGAATTTTTAAACCAGCCTTGCCAACATGGTGAAACCCCATCTCTACTAAAAATACAAAAATTAGCTTGGCACCTTTAGTCCCTGCTGCCCAGGAGGCTGATGCAGGAGAACTGTTTGAACCTGGGGTGCAGAGGTTGCAGTACTCTGAGATGGCACCACTGCACTCCAGCCTGGGTGGCAGAGCAAGACTGACACACACACACACACACACACAAACCAGGGCTGGGGAAAGGCTGCTGTCATGGCAAATAAGCTACTGGATCAAGTCAGGCAGAACCACGAAAGCACCACAGAAGGGCATCCGGCTGAGGGTGTGGGGGCATCATTCCCAGAGTGCAGACAAGACCAGCCTTTGCCTAAAGAACTTCTCAGGAAGTGGGATTCAAGATGGGCTTTCATGAGCAAACAGAACTTTGGTTTGCTGTGACAAACCAGAGCCTATTCCACCCTCCTGAGCCACACACACCTGGGCACACCTGCTTGCATCATGTACAGCCCCTCTGTCGCTCCAGCCTTCAGGGAGACACTGACATTGCTGCTTCATGAAGGACAGATGCAGTTCACAGAGGCATAGCACAAAGGACCTTGCCAGGCTCAAATCCAGGGTTATTTTCAATTTGTGTGTTGGGACCCATTAGACTGTGGAGGTGCCCCGAGAGTGAGTATTTGAGGCTTTGCAGGCCACACTGCCTCTGTCACAAGTACTGAACTCTGTTGCTAGCCAATGTAGAGCCATGGCTGGGTCCCAATAAACCTTTACAAATCGAGGCAGCGGGCCTGTGGGCCATAATTTGCTGACCCTTTGTCAGAGGGTTATGAGGCAGTAGAAATAACCGATAATTTTTAAATAAAACAGAACAGAAAACAGTGGGTATTACATCTGGTAAACAACAGATGGCAATAGTAAGGGCAAGTGTGTTCTGTGAAACTTTTGTTTCAGCTTATTTGCATATAATTTATATATACTTCTAGTACAGGGTTGCAATATAAAACATTTTAATTCTGTGAAATTCCATCAAAAAGTTTGAAAGCCACTGCTGTGATCCGGTCCCTCCTCTTACAGATGGAGAAACTGAGGCCTAGCAAGGCGAAGGACTTGGCCAAGCTCACCCGGCTTACTGGTGGCACGGCTGGGATTCAAACCCATGTGTTCGGGCTGTCATCTCAAAGATCCTCCTGCTATCTCCCACATCCCCCTGCCTCATACAGGGGCTAAGCCCAAATCCTGGAACCCATTTCTCTCTGCTCCTGGTTCCCTGCTCCTCCCAGGTGGTACCAGCAGAGGATGCAGGAGCTAGAGCTGGACAAGCTGCTGCCCCTAGAGGCGGGCCAGGCTCTGCACCATGATGCCATGCCTGAGGGGTGGCAAAACAGCCCCAGGGTGACCTGCACCGAGGCATGGCACCACCAGCAGGAAACAGGACATGGCTGGGGAAGGTGGAGCTGACCAGACTGGGCGGAGGTCCGGATAAAGAGGGCTGAAAGCCACACATTCTAGTGGAGACAGAGTGCAGGGCAGACAGCAGGAGGGGAGGAGCCAGATGAAAAGGCAAAGACAAGGAAAAGAGGCGCAGATGGAGAGATGAGAGTCAATGTTCTAAGCGAGGGACCCGGGTCAGTCCCCTACAACCCCTCAACCCCCCCAACCCCTACCCACCTCCTGCCCACAAAGAGATTAAAAAACAAGCTCTGGCCCAAGGGAGAAAGTTCACTCACAGGGGGCATAAAACATGACCAGGAGCGGCTTCTCTTCCTTCTTCAGGAGCCGTCTGAAGTCCTGAGGCACAAAAAGAGAATACCAGGAGCTCACACACAGCACAACAACAGGATGAGACCCCTTCCCTGGCCCTGCTGCATCCAGAAGTGTGGGGATAGGGAGAGGAGCGGGAGCGGGCACTTCAGAAAGCACAGGCTGGTGGCTGACTTGCGGGTGGGGGCAGAGCCGAGGCAGGTCAAGAGCTGGAGGAACCTCAGAGATAACGTATTCGAGACCACCCTTGCCTATTACAGATGGGAACACTGAGGCCCCAAGCTAACAAATGGCTTTGGCCACCTGGAGAGAGGGAGTCACGAGGACCAGGCGGCTGGCTTTCCTTTCAGCTCCACCTGAACAGTTCAAAGATGGCAAAAAGCGATTTTTGTTCCATGAGGCTGTCGAATAGGCTGCCCCTTCCTGTGACTTACACAGCGGTTTTGTTGTGGGGCGGGTGGCTGTTTTCATGTGTGCCTGGCTTGGCCAGATGGGGATCTGCTCATTGTGGGAAAAGGGGTTAACCCATACCGGCTAATCTCTTGCTAATCTCTTCCCATGCTCCAGCCCTGCCACCACCGTCCTGGCCCCCAGGAGTCCACGGAGCACACAGGGCAGAGGAGGGGGCCTGCTCCACCCTCCAGGAGGTTATGGGCAAAATGGATTTGTAAAACCCTTAGAACAGTGCCGGGCATGTTATTAAGAAGTACATAATGATTTGTTAGCTGCACACAATAAAGGCAAAAAGACAAATGGCCACACAGTGCTCATGTAGACTTCAGTGTGTGAGCAGGGTGGAGAGAATTTTCTTCCAACGAGAGCCAATGATGGATGGGAAAAAGCAACTCTATCAAGCACTGCAGTGAAGCACGATGATAGAGCATATTTTGATTAAGCTGCTCAACCACTTTTCACAGAAGAAAATGAGAGGGTTTTCTCTTTTGAATAATAAGGAAAATAAGAAAATTTCAAAATGCAGCTTTCTGGCAGCAAGAAGGCATTAGGTACATAAATGATGGCACATCCCGCACAATGGGATGCCACTGCATCATTAAAACAGAAGAAGAAGGTGTTTAATGTCACAATCAGATGTGCACGGTGCACTGTGGGGACGGGAAGCAAGTTACAAAACAGCATATCAAATATAATGACATCTTTGTGAGTGAAAACATCATGTACATATACCTTGAAAGCCTGGAAGATTACAAAAATATCAGCAGGCATCTCTCTCAGTGAAAAGGTGTGGGGTGATTTGGTTTTTTTCTTTATGCTAAAGATGTATTTTCTAAATTTTCAACAATGAATGTGCATTAACTTAAAATTTTCCAGTTAGATAAAAAAAGATTAAATTTTTGTGGATATCCAAAACATTTTAGAATAAATTCTGGAAAAGTTTACCCTTGTTTACATAACTAGAGGGTTAAGGCACTAATTTTCAAACAAAATTAGTAAACAAGATATTTACCCCAACTAGGGGTACAGGATGCAAACAGTTCTAAAATTATCTTTTGAGATTTCTGGAGATAAAAGCTAGTAAAAGATCTGAGAAGAGAAGATTTTATTGAGCCTATAGCAATTTGGTTTCATATCTTGAGTAATAACAGATATTACATTCAAAGATGCTTAATTACCTTCACAAAGTATGAAATTCCAAGCCTACGAACTGAATCAGCAATTCAAACTTGAATTTGGAACTTTTCATTATTTATGTGGACATTCTATTAGCAGAAAAGCAGCTATACCTCTTACTTCCATAGGAGAGAAAAGAGCACAAATCAGAATGAGAGGGTTCCCTACAGGTGTGAAAGAGCTATTTCTCCTTAATATTCCTGCAGTTACAGAAGAACAACCTTAGGAAGTTCAGGACATGTTATTTGGGGAGGAAGGCGCCAGGCAATCACTTTCCAGAGAAGCTGTAAACATTCATTAACACAGGAGCAGCACTCTGTTTAGGCTGTTTGTATTTCCATGGCTCTTGGTACAAGTGCCACTCTCTCCTGGTACTTGCCCCTCTTTCCCTGCCCCCACATGCCTTTTTAAAAGACTTCCTTGAGTCTAGATGCAGTGGCTTACACCTGTAATCCCAATATTTTGGGAGGCGGAGGCAGGTGGATCACTTGAAGTCAGGAGTTCCAGACCAGCCTGACCAACATGGTGAAACCCCATCTCTACTAAATTACAAAAATTAACTGGGCATGGTGGCATACGCCTGTGATCCCAGCTACTTGGGAGGCCACGGTAAGAGAATCACTTGAACTCCAGAGGCGAAGGCTGCAGTGAGCCAAGACTGTGCCACTGCACTCCAGCCTGAGCGACAGAGTGAGACTCTGTCTCCAAAATTAAAAAAAAAAGATATCTTCAAGATGACAATACTGGCTCTTTCTATCCCAGAGAATGTTGTGCCCAGTCCTTAATTTGAATCACCACTGATCCACTTGGTTGGTCCACAATGATGACACATTTTACCTTCCTCCAGAAGGTAAAAAAAAAAAGCCATCATTTTCTTTTGGGCTAACAAGCATTAAGAGTACAGTCAATAGGCCAGTTACAGAGGCTCATGCCTGTAATCTCGGCACTTTGAGAGGCTGAGGCAGGAGGATTGCTTGAGGCCAGGAGTTCAAGACCAGCTTGGGCAACATAGTGACAGCCCATCACTATAAAAAATTTAAAAACTAGCTGAGCATGGTGGCATGCACCTGTAGTCCCACTTACTCAAGAGGCTGAAGCAGGAGTATTGCTTGAGCCCAGGGATTCAAGGTTGCAGTGAGCTATGATCACACCACTATACTCTTCCAGCCTGGGTGACTGTGAGACCCTGACTCTAAAAACAAAAAAAGAGTCAACAATTTTAAAGGAAAAGGGAGAGAAGGAAGAGAAAGACAAAACCTGTTTTATTTTATCGAGATAGGAATGAACCTTCTCCCTCCATCTACAAAAAGCACTACTTGCCTCACAGACCATCTGAACTATTACAGAGAAGTTCTTGCCCATCCTAAGTGAAGGCATCATACAAACATGGACGCACATGGCTAAAGATGCACATTCAGATCAGGTGGGCAGGCTGTGGATGGAGGGGCAATGTGTGTCACAGCTTTTGCACTCTTTATTATTTTAGAGATGGGGTCTTGCTATGTTGACCAGGCTACCCTTGAACTCCTGGGCTCAAGCAATCCTCCTGCCTCAGCTCCAAGTAGCTAGGACCACAGGCACATGCCACCCACGGCAACCTGTCTGTCATAACTTTTGTTAAATACTCAAGAACTAATAAAGGCTATCATCTACCTCCACTACTGGTCAAATTTGGAACTTGAAGCGTAACAGGGTAAATAATTGGCTCAAAGCTACAGAATGATCCAGAATTGTAGAGATCTGCCTCAAGTCTGTGGAATCTAACCCAAATCTCTAAGATTATTCTTTAAAAAAAACAAAAACAAAAACAAAAAACAAGATGTAAAGCCAATCCTAGCAACATCTGGATTACATAATAGAGAAAGAACATTTAAATCTATATGCACATATGGAAAATCTAAACATTTTCAAGTACATTAAATAAGGAAGGTGAAGAATGGAGAAAATTCTCAGGCAACTTGTGATCTCTACTGGTTACAACATGGAGCTGGGAAGGGGAATCAAATATTAGGGTCCCGGCCTAGCTTCCCTGGAGGAAAGCTCAAGTGATCCTGGAATATTCCCATCTCTCAGCTGGTTGGGCTCCTCTCCTTGGGAGGCCCTGGTACCAGGAAAGCTTCCAGCATCCATCAGAACTGATGGGGAATGCGTTACCTTTTCACTGTCAATGTGGACAACATCTTTGGCTCCAGGATCTTCCTCCCACAGTGGAGGCCCTTTGGGATCCTTCAAAAAGGCCACTATGGACTGACAAAAAAAAAAAGAGAAAAGAGAAAAGGCATTTTAGCCCTGAAAAGCAGGAGGTGGGGGAATCAGGTATCTTCCTATTTCCCTGCCTGGAGATCTGGGCACACCAGGTGCTGGGCTCAGGACTGCATATAGCATAAGCTTGGAGACTGTGCTATTTCCACTGTCCACTGACATCATGGCTAAGTGCCCCAAAAATGTGCCTCCACCACTCCCGCCAGGTTTTTCCAATCACAAGACACCTTGCTCACTCCAGTCAGGTGGTCCATACCTACTATGCGTCTTCATGGACAGAAAAGAGAAAATTTGAGACAATGAGTTGGCTTATTCAAACCAGAGACACACTGATGCTTCTACTAAACCTCATCTCCTCCAAGAAGTCCTTCTAACTAATGGAATAATGGTCTCAGTCTTGTCCAAAGCAGACATTTCCACACACCTGCAGCCACTAAAACTGTCATCTCATAAGCAGATAATCACACCTACTTACAACCTGCTTGATATTTCATGATCTAAAGTGGTTTTTGGTGGATTAAATCCTGATTATCCTCTGCTGTATATGAATAAGCGAGGTCCAGGCTGGGAAGCCCCCAGGGCAGGGTGGTCACCAATGTGGCCTCACACTTGTTGCTGTACTTCTTTTCCTGAGGGCCCCTCTTCTGGACTGCCCGGATTGAAGATCTGAGAAAGTCCTTACAGATAAAGGGCTTTGCTGGCCTTTGTTATATGTACAATGACTCAAACCTCCACTCGCTTTGGGGAAGACTCACAGGGGCAGGGAATAAAGGCACTGTCCTTCCACCCTCGTCCGTACTCCCTGCCATTCTCACTGGTCCAGGGCAGAAGCAGCACTCCCTTTCCCCTCAGTCACTCTGAGAGATGGTGCTCAAAGTCTGTGAGAGCCAGGAACAGGCACCAGATCCCAGCCAGACTGTAACTTCTGTCCACTTTGACCACACTCCAGTGAGCAGATGCTGAACTGTGTGTGTGTGTGTGTGTGTGTGTGTGTGTGTGTGTGTGTGTGTTGGGATATGGGGAGGGCTGAGTGTGTGTGTGTGTTGGGAGATGGGGAGGTCTGAATGTATGTGTGCGCACGCACGTGTGTGTGTGTGTGTGTGTGTGTGTGTGTGTGTGTGTTTTGGAAGATGGGGAGGCCTGAGTATGTGAGTGTGTGTGTCTCTGTGTGTGTGTGTGAGAGTGTGTGTGTGTGTGTGTGTGTGTGTGTGTGTGTGTGTGGAGATGGGGAGGCCTGAGATGAGAAAGGGAAGTACTCTTCTATAATAGTAAGGGTATACATTCAGCCCATCCATTGGTCACATACAGAGAGGACCTTAGTAAGGCTTATTATTTCTGGAAACTCTATTTGGAAAGAACTACTATGGGAGAATGGGAGACAGCCAAGACTTCATAGAATTTCATTCAGGTAGTGCTTCCTGCCTGTCCAAGTGGAGCTGTGAAACGCCTCCTGGCAAGAGAACAGCCATTTCTGCCACAGCAAAAGGCGGATCCACCCTTTCTCGGTCCCTTGTCAAGGCTTTGCCATGACAACATAAGGAATTATGGAAATGTCAGGGTCTTCCCAACACCCACTCTCACCCACAGCTGCAGAGGCACCTGTCCGCCAAGCTATGTGAGAAAGATGCTGGTAGCCGCCCCCCCTTGCCTGGGGTTCCAGAAATACCCAGTGCAGGTGCTCTCAACTTAGGGTGCATAAGAAACTTCAGGAGTTGGTGAAATCCCAGACTCACGTGACAACATTGACTTTGATTGCATGCACACACACTTTTTCAGGGAGGTCTGTGTTCAGTAGATGCTCAGTGGGAGCAGAACCCCAGAACAAGTTAGGCACTGCTGCTCTGAGGGACTCCTGGCCCCATGCCCAGCCCCTTCCCCCATCTCCACCTTGGTATCAAGAAAAAAGAAAGCAGTGGATGGAAAAGGAAAGAAATGACCTTTTAATGTAACAACTGACAGGTTCATACACACAATATTGTTTTTCAGGTGAGGATGATTCTCATTTAACTGAATAACCCTATCTCTAATGTTCTCTCCGAGTTGATCTAACTGGACAAGACCTCGGGAGCGGGGAAGTCTGCAGGGAGCAGCACCTGAAGTCCACCCTCAGTTGTGCTATTCGGGGTGCTCTGAGTCCCAGGCACTGTCTGACACCATATCTGGCCTTTAGGACACCTTCACGGCTGTGATCCTGGCTCACAGCTACCAGGCCCTGAGATCATCAGTGCATCATCTGAATCCAGACTGCCAGGTGGCACCTCTGGCTCTCACCACTTCTATAGTAAGGATTCGGGGAGTATGTGCTAACAAGGAAAGGGCAGCTTACAGGATGTTCCCCACTTTGAGTTTCCTATTGTTTGCTGATGGGGTGAAGTAATTTAAGTCCTCACTTATCTGGCCTGTGACCTCTCTAGGTGCCATGGCACAGCAACTGTGACTAGGCTCCTGCCCAACCGTGTGGGTTGACAAAAGCCACAGCCATAACATGGGCCTTCAGGCCATGGGCCCCTCCTGTCGAGGGCTCTTCCATCTCTCTGGAGTCAGGGTCCCAGGAGAAACCCTGAATGGAAAGTTGGTCAGTCAAGCTGAAAAGGCCAAAGCCATTGGCAGTCAGGGAACCATCCTGTCACCATCCCTCTGCCCTGGAGAGCTCCTGGGACTCTGCCCCAGTCCCGCTTGGGGATGCTGGGACTAAGAGTACCCTCTCTCCATCTGAAACTGAAGACTCTGGGCCTGTGTGATGCTCAACCACTTCTTCAGCTTGTTAATGCAGAAATCATGGGAAGGTCAAGAGAATGCCAACCTCACACGCCTGGTCTTTGTAAGAAGTGGGACGAGGCCAGGATTCTGCCTCTCCCACCCAGACACCCAGTGGCATGCTGGGGCCACCTGGGCTCCCTGCTCCTTTTCTGCTACTCCAGTTCTGAATAGCCACTGAGAACTCCCTGCTCCATAAGCCCAAGACAGATTCCTCAGAGGTCCTGGTTAAACATAAAATATACACAACCTCCAACCACAAAACAAAACCCCAGCCCTCTTTCCATCACTGCATAAGCACATCCCCAACCCCACCCAACTAAACCTCGTTCCTGGGGAACATGTGTTCTCTCCAACAACTTCGATTGACGTCTTAACACGGAATAAGAAGGGCTGAGCAATTCTAGTTGGAAGAACTTTCTAAGTGTCTAAGTAGGTGTTAAGATGATGAGTAATCAGGCTGAGTCCCTGTATAAGGTGAATGCTGTAGCAACTTTAAAAAAGAATGAGTGTTAGTGGATAAGCAAGAAATGACCTGGAGAGATGGTGGGGAGAGACAGAGGGAGAAAGAAGGAAGGGCACTGACAGCTGCACAGACAGATGGACAGATAGGAGAAAATGGAAGGAGACACAGATGGAGAAAGAGGGACAGATGAAGAGACAGGAGTACAGGGTCCAACCCAGTCTGGGAAAGATGAGAGTTAGGAAGTGAGTTCAAACACATCAGGAACAGAAGAAACATATGGCTTCAGCCAACGCAGGACCAGAATGCAGAAGACAGGCTGGAGGAAGGGAATGCTGACCACGAAGGAGGAGAGTTGCAGTACAGGAGTACTAAGGGCTGGGCCGGCTGCTTTGTGATTACAGAATCTCCTATTTCTTTTCATTTATGCTTTTCCATCTACTTCTAAACTGAATTGATAGCAGGGAACTCCTCAATGATACCCATATCTCATTTGGAATAAGCTGCATCGGCCCAAAGGTGCCAAGCTGCCGATGTGTGATACCCTGTGCTAACCTGGGCGCTGTACATCCATCCAACCTAAGGATGTACACTACCACAGAAATGGGGGGAGGGCTTTGAAGCTATAGCGAAGGGAGACCCAGGGGCCTTTGGCAGAGAGAGAGGTGACACCACCTGCCTCACTGGACAGCTGCTGATACATTCACAAATTCATCTCCAAAGCTGGGTCAATTCTATGTGTTAAGAGCTACAAACTTTTCCAGATATTCTGCTGACATATGCTCTAGAGATAAGAATCTCTCAGGTCATTTAGAAGAGCTATTTGTGCAATCCGCTCTTTCTTTTCTCAGAGAGAAAACCTGCCAGACTTTGTACGTCCATTTAGACTCCACCTCTGCTGAGAACGAGGGAGGTAAATTTACCTTAAATGTCACAGCTCGGTTATATTCAGTATGAAATGCACCATCCCTGTCAAATGAGGAGAAAAATGTGTTAACTTTAAGAATGGTTGTGAAGATACATACCTTTGGTTTCCTGCAGCATCTTAATAAGATTCAGCTTTTGAATGCAATTCAGGATTTTTTTAAAAAAGAAATAATTGTAAACACAGGAAGAAAAGCATTCTGAAATAAAATTAATCTAACTAAAAATTGCTGTTCAGTGAAAACACCAATGAAAGCGTTCAGCACTTACTTGGAAATTGGAAATGCCCATGTGTACTTACTGGTAATGGAATACTTCGACCTTTTTATCCTTTGGGCTCAGGTCAACTTTCATCTTTTTGCACAATTTCCTACTCTCTGCATCACTGAAAGACACAAATGTCGGGAACTATTTATTACCTGAAGTCCTCACAGAGGTGTTGACAGCAAAATCTGCTGGTGTCCTAAGAAATAAGCCAGGTAACCTGGAATTCTCAATAGCAGATGAAGGCCTTACTACAGATGGGCTGTGAGAACTGGAGGAAGGTGACTAACTAGCAAGTAGGGGCTGATCAAGAAAGACAGAGGCCAGGCATGGTGGCTCATGCCTATAATCCCAGCACTTTGGGAGGCCGAGGCGGGTGGATCTCCTGAGGTCAGGAGTTCGAGACCAGCCTGGCCAACATGGTGAAACTCCGTTCCTACTAAAAATACAAAAATTAGCTGGACGCGGTGGCATGCGCCTGTAGTCTTAGCTACTCAGGACGCTGAGGCAGGAGAATCACTTGAACCCAGGAGGCAGAGGTGGCAGTGAGCCGAGACTGTGCCAATGCACTTCAGCTTGGGTGACAGAGAGACTCCGCCTCAAAAAAAAAAAAAAAAAGAAAGAAAGAAAGAAAAGAAAGAGGCAAGCAAACAGGAGCTGGTGTGTCATGACTTGTGGGTGGCAACACAGACAGATCCAGACAAAGGAAGTGCCCCAGAAGCTTAGGGGGTAGACAGCCCATGGTAATAAGAAAATAAACTCCAACTGTGGCCGTTCTTTAAATTTACCAGGCAAGTTTTTAAAAATATCGATGCCCTGGCCTTCCTCTGATTATTAATTCAGAATCTCTGTGGGGGTGGGACAAGCAAGATTTTTGTTTCTAGAGCTCTGACATAGGCCATCTACTATATACCGTCTGACCAAGGCTAGAGGAAAACATGCTACCATATTGAAGAAGTTATGAAATCTGGCCAGGTATTGACAAAGGCAAAAGGACAGGGCAAGGCTGTGGTTTAAGAAGCCCCTCCCTTGGCATCTGGGATATTACACTCTCTTCCAATAAGAAATGCCTGTCAGGTGCCATTCCCCGTTTGCAAAGCACTTGTGTACAACCTCATCTCATCTTGGTGCCCTTACTGTTAGAACAATGGATTTCAATATGTGGTCCTTGAACCAGTAGCACCAGTGTCATCTAGGAACCTGTTAGAAATGCAAATCATCAGCCCCATCCCAGACCCACTAAATGAGAAACTCTGGGGATTCTTGAGTGATTTCCATTTGAACAACCTTCTAGGTGATACTGATGTGTGCTCAAGTTTGGAAACCACTCACTATATTAGACTAGCTCCTTCACTGGCTCATATTCCTCTCCCCTACCTCTACAAGGTTTGGCTCCCCTGGGCCCGACACCAGCCCCTTAGAGACCTGACCTGCTCTCACAGCTTCCCCATCCTGCTTGCACTCAGTCAGTCAGACAGCCCTGCTTGTTAGTTGGGGGCCATCTCCCCAGCCCTGAAAGGACTCAGTGAGGGCATCTCGGCTACCCAACACCTACTGGTCACCACGCATTACACAACCGGAGTCATGTTTTGGGGAACTTTTGTTGGAACAGGTACAACAGCCACCTGAGGCAAGAAGCTGTATCTCCCAGTTGCTTACATGCCCCCTCTCCACCAACAGCCACCAGCTTCACACAGCTGTGCACCAGCCTAGAACAGATGGACTAATTAAAACACTCAGCTCAATTCTAAAAGCAACACTCATCAATGGACATGCAAAAAAATGCAGGACCTCATTTTAAGTGTAAAAATGCAATTTGCAACTCAAGAAGCATGTCTTACTGGAGAGGTGTGTGAGGGTCAGAGAGGAAGAGTGTCTCCCTCCCCGCATCCTCCCCCAGGCCCAGGGGTTTCCTCTGTACTAGTCCCAGCTGTCTAGCCATCGCTGCAGCCACTGCAGCTTCCAGCCCTGGGCCTGGCAAATAGTGGGGACTCATGAAATGCATGAGGAATCCAGAGAGGAAAGGCTAATGACACAGCAACAGTTCCTCCCCTAAGGTGGCAAGGACATTTTAGGACAGAGAGATTCCAGAGAAGGGGCAAACTAAGAGTGGGCTCTCCGAATGGAGAAGGCAGCCCAGGGCATTGCTGAAAACTTTCTTATCCTAAAGCCCTCTGGGGTCCACACGGGCCTCTTCTGACAACTGCTATGACAGTTCAGGTGTGCCCCGTCCCACAGGGGCTCTGTGGTGACACTGCACTGACAGGCGGTGGGTCTGTTTGAGAACGACTGCAAACGACATGCCCTTTCCCCACTTGAGTTAATTCCCAGGACAGAGGGCTTGACTCTGATGTTTACACCACTCACTTGGCACCTTCCTCGTTGGCCTTTGTTCTGCTGTGCTGCACTCTTTCTGTGACCACCTACTGTCCACCCAACTGCAACAACAAACAGCAGCTGGGGCAGGAGCCAAGACCGGGATGGGATGGGTGCGGCCTCCCTCAGTCCCATCAGCCCCGTCCTGCCACCAGCAGCACACGATGGGCTTGCTCATCAGCTCTCTGTTCACCCTGCAGTGCCTGCCTGGGCGGCTCAGACACTGCAAGGTAGCAACTAGAGAGGAGAATCCCCACCTGATGCCCCTCTCTCTTCCATCAAGCCTGGCTGCCAGTCTCTGCCTGTGACTATCACAAAGCAGAGGGAGGAAACACGGGGCTCGGTTCATTCCCATGACAATCCCAGTCCACTCTGTGGGAAACCCCTCCACCGAAAAGTCCCACTACGACAGCCTTAGGTTCTCTGAGGGCCCAGGCTAGGCTTAGGACCAAGACTCCAAACCAACTAAGTTGGCTGGTAGAGCTGGGGGCACAGGGGCACCCCTGCCTGTTCTTTAGTGTGGCCTCCAAGGTTCAGCCCGGTGTGCAGCCCTCTGCCCTCACTCCAGCTAAGTAAGCACCCCACGAGCCCTCACTGCAGAATCTGTGCCACCTCCCTTGTTAGCTTATGTAACACTCCTAAGGATTCTCTCCTCTCCCATCCCCTGCACTCTCTCTCTCCTTGAGGAGTGAGTGGGGCGGAGGCTTCCTGTCCTGTCGGAGCACATTTCTGGCAAAGACCCGAGGGCTGCTGGCTCCAGTACTCCCAAACTCCCCTCCCCTGCTGTCTTCCTCTCCTCGCGCTTATCAACATAGGACCAACTTGTCCACTGCCTGCCCCATCAGAAACATGTGCTCTGTGAAGCCAAGGGCTTGGTTTTGTATGCAGCTATCTCCCCAGAGGTACAACAGCAGCTGGCACACAGTAGGCACTCTATAAATCACCTGACTGAATGGCTGAATGGCTGAAATGAATGACGTTGTCTTACTGCTGCTGGGATGAGGCTCTGCGTTTCTGGCTTTCTGGGATCTCTGGGCTCTGTCTATTGAGCTCCAGGAATCCTGCCAGCTGATGATGCCTGACAATGTTCTCTCGGCACTGCTTCCCTCCCTCCCACAGTTCTGTCTCTCAGAGTGTATAAGTGTGAGTTGTGTGTGTGTGTGTGTGTGTGCGTGTGCAAGCATGTGTGCACACACTCATTGTGCAGCGCAGAAAATAAGTATCAAAAGAGTTCAAGTAGGGGAGAAAATTACTCAAGCTCAGAGATTTAAAAGGAGCTGAGTTGGGAGATTAAGTACAATTAATCGATCTACTGACTATCTCCCTCCCCCAACTAATCACTGAGGTTCTAGGGGAGAAAGGAGACAACGCAGTGAGCAGGAAAACGAGATGCTTTGCTAGAACTGAGGAACTGAGGGGGATGGAGAACGCCACCAAGGGTCATGGAGAAGGGGCTGGCAGTGCAAAGACCTGAGGGTCCTGCCACTTCACTGGCCCCTATACTGTAGGAACCAGCCATCTCTCTGCCCATTTACTCACCACTGTTCCAAGGAATGAGGCATCAAGGTCACCAATCTGCTCCATCCTATCCCTCCCCACCTCACTTGGCTCTCTTCCATGGAGAATGTAGAAGGAAAGATGGCAGAGGCCTATACACACTTCCCTCCACACCCCCCACACCCCCACCCAGACAGGCGCATGCACATGGGTGTTTTCGTCTGAATCTACCATGGGACAGCTGGCTGCTAGTCGGGAGTGGCTGCAGGTACACGGTGCAGTGTTTATTGGATTTTCCTGTGCAGTAATAATTATCTAAGAGACTGGAGACATACACTCCTGGGAGTCAGACCCAGGGATCAAAGTGGGGGTGAGAGCCGGAAGAAAGAGAATAAACAAGGTCTGGAAGCCGGCAGGGTCGGGGGTGGGGCTCTGAGGTCTTTCACGAGTCCAGCCTAAGCACCATGGCCAGCTAGAGTGACAGCTTCAACATCTGGCTCTGCCGTTAGCGACCTCTGGCAGGACCCTTAGTTTCCGGAGCTGCAAAATGCAAGGGTTGTCCACATAAGCTGAATGGAGGTTGATTTCTCTACAGGGTCAAGTAAGACTAAATAAAGCATGGAGACAGGCTGCCTTATATCCTGACACATGAACCAGCAGCCAGAACCTGAGGCAAAAGGGGGAGACAAAAAAACCCTCTGAACCCGTCATCTCTCTCCTCCCCTCCCAACCGGATCCTCAGTCAGCCACAGTTGGGGTTCTTATGTCCACGGCAGACCACGTTCAGCCCTTCCTGGTGTAGTAGAAAGGAGGCTACACTGAAAACCAGAAGGAAAGCTTCTGCCTGTCTCGGTATTAACGTGATGCCCACGGCTACCCCAGCCTCTCTAGCTCCATTTCCCCATCAAAGAAGGGGTCACTCTCTTCCTCCCATTGGCCAGGTCTAACATGGCAGGATTCTGAGCAGGTGGACCTGTGATCCCCTGGGGACAAGTAGAAGAAAGGTAGAAAGCACCCTCACTTCAAAGACATGATGAAAATGGGGGGTGAGTGCTGAGCAAGAAATCCTGAGTGACTGCTTGATGCCAAGTACCAAGGACAATGTGAAAGAATGTGGCTGGAGGACACAAGGCGGGAGGCATGAGAGAGAAGTCCTGAGAGAGCTGAGCCTTGAACTTGGAGAGGCCTTGGTGGTCACATAGCCCGCTCTGAAGGAAAGACTCTCTACAACAGGGCTCCTTCTCCCCGATCTGGCTGATCTGGCTGTTCCCCTTGGTACCTGCCTCAAGAAGGTACATCACAGGGTTTGGATTGCACAGCAATCCAAGTTAGCAAGAGTGGTGGAAAACAGAGAGAAGAACATGGTTTCTCTGCAGACATGTAAGGTGCTTCCCCTTCACTGCCCTTCCAGCCCAGCCATTCTAAGGCTCTGCTCCTCAAGGGGCCGTGTCACTCCAACGAGTGCATGGTGGTGTGCTGGGAGGCATCTGAAGCCACAAGACAAACACAGCACTTCTTCTGGCAGTCTGTTTTACCCCATGGTAACTAATGTTGAACATGCTTAGGAGCAAATACTAAATTCAGATAGTTTTTAGGAGAAAACATAAGTCTTTAAAATATGTTACGCCTACCCTGGCAGGCCCCCAGTCTTGCATCTGGGAAGCTGTCACCACTTCAGAGAAATCAAGCAGATGGGGAGGAGAGCAGGGAAGAAAGTAAACGTGGTTAAGCAATGACCTGAAGCCCTGAGGAAAAGAAAGTAGCAAGCACCTGGTAGGACAGCCTTGCCCCCTGTGAAACACAGCCTCAGGAATTAGCATAACAGGCACAGCTCCTCGCTGGCTCCAGCTCAACTTCCCAGACAGCAGCACTCCATGCCAAGCCCAAGTCCCAGCGCCCAGCTGGCAGAACACGAGGGGAATACCAACTCCTGCATACAACCCGCTTAACAGCCGGACAACCACCACCAGCCAGACCGAGCGTGGCTGTTGAGGTCTGAGCCAGGAGTGGAGTGAGGGGGAAGGAAAGCTGACAAAACCCTGGACAGAAGCCAGACACCCTAGAGACACCCCAGAGCAACAAGTTACAGGGCCTGGGACCAGGGAGAACACCAATGGAGAAGTGTTTCTGTGTTCCTGCAGGTGCACATGGATGAATAGGGAGGAAAGAGCCAGAAAAGCAAAACATTTTTAAAAAAGGAAAAGAAATATCAATATAGAGAGGAAAGAGGAGAAAAGAGGCCAAAAGAAGGACAAGCCAGGCAGTGACACATACCTGTAATCCCAGCACTTTGGGAGGTCAAGGCAGGTGAATTACTTCAGGAGTTCAAGACCAGCCTGAGCAATGTGGCAAAACCTGGCCTTTACAAAAAAAATACAAAACTTAGCTGGGTGTGGTGGTATGTGCCTGTGGTCTCAGCTACTGGGGAGGCTGAGCTGGGAGAATGGCTTCAGCCTGGGAGGTTGAGTCTGCATGAAATGAGATTGTGATACCACACTGCAGCCTGGGCAACAGCGTGAGACCCTGTCTCAAAAACAAGAGTGGTTCGGGGCAGAAGCAGGGAGCGGTGGGGAGTCCTGGACACAGGATTGGGAAAAGGGAACAGAAACCTCATAAGGGGAGAGAAAAGAGGAGGGCAGGAGAGGACCTCAGAGAGAAGGATAGGCACCATTCCAAAATGGGGATGGGGAGGGAGGGGCACAAAGAGGAAAAGACCCCCCTCAAAGCCTGGAAGGCAATGCCCACCACTGTGCTTATAACCCGCACACTGGGCCTGGCAACTTCTGGCATTTTCTGAAGCAGGCGCTATACAGATGAGAGTAACAAGATTCAACTCCACATTTCCCAGAAGATTCAACTGAAGCCCAGAGAGGGGCAGTGACTTGCCAAAGGCCCCACAGCGATTTGATGTCAGAGCCTAGGACTCAAAGCTGGGTTTTCTGACCGAAAGTCCTAAAAATTCCACTGCACCCTGTACTTCTTAAGGGTCAGAGCAAAACACCCATGGCCAGGGGCTCATTCCCACGGCCAAAACCTTCTTCAGGTTCATCCTTACAAGAACCAAGGGCTCCTCACCCAGTAAACAGTTGCTGAATGAACATGTACACCATTCCTCCCCTCCAGTTTCCTCCTGAACAACCTTGCCCAGGTGAAAAACAACATCAGGAGAATGGTGTCTCACATGTAAATTGTATTTCCTATTCTCGAAAGAACTTTCCTTTACCCGATCCTTATCACAGACCTGGAAATAAGGCAGAATGCATATCGCTGTCCCGTTTCACGGCTGATGAAAGAGGTTCGGGTGACCGACTTGCCCAGTGTCATGGGGCTAATGAGCAGTGCAGCTAACTAACTAGTTAGCAGTCAGCCCAGGCCCTCTCCTAAGCCTAAGGCTTTCTCCCTTATTCCACATATCTGCAAAGACACCTTAACACTGGAGCAGCATATTTTCTCACCCCAGATGGTCCCTGTTCCCCTCACTTGCCCTTTAAAGGGAAAAGCAAGGTGGTCTGTGCACTCTTGACCTTCTTGGTCACCCCCACTTCAAGCCCTGTCCCCATCCTAGCCACCAACCCTTCGTGGGCAGGGCAGGAAGTAGAGCTGGAAAGGACGAGAGACGGGGGCCTCATCAGGGCCCATTTGAGGGAGGCGAGCTCTGGCTGGCTACTTGCTGTTTCATTGTAACAAGAATAAAGAAGAGAACATGGCTCCCTGCCACCTACTCACTCCTCGGCAGACAGCACCAGAAAGCAAAGTTCCTAACAGCACTTCTGCCCATCCCTGGGTGTGTCTCATTCACAGACCCATAGACACGGACTGGACACACTTAGGACTACAGCGAGAGCTGTCACTGCGGGGCTCTGTGGAGCTCTCATGCGGGCTCCCCATGCCCTAATGATTACAGGCAAGTTTGGAAGTCTCGGAGCAGGAGTGACCGAGCTGAAGTGGAGATCACCTTTTCTAACAGTGGTCCGTGACAGCTGCCACGTAGAGTGGCCTGCATGGCCCACAGCCCAGAATTCTGAACCTTGGGCTACTCAGGAAATATTGTACCCTGCCTCTAATTTCAAACTCACACCCAGATATTCCTGCTTCCAACTTAATCCACTTTGGTTCCATAATCCACCTACTTATCCACACTGTTTTAACATTTCAGTTTCTACTTCCTCTTGCAGGGATGAATTCAATACAGTGAGGCAACTATACGGGATAGTCCATCCTTCTGTCTTAAGGTGAACTCTTTCAACCTCTAAGGTGCTTCCCTGCCCCAATTTTAATTTGAGCACATCGAAATTCACAGGATGTTCTCATTGGCGCTTTTATTGACTCCAGACATCATGTTTCCAAACGCGAGTCCTGAAGTTGAATCTGCATAGCCTGTCTTCACCCACTACCCCAACCCCATTTAACTCAGGAATCTTGCATTGCATGTTTTTCAGGCTGCTTGGGGACTGCAGCAGGCCTTTCACCTCCACAGGCAGTTCTGGGGGCCCCACTCCACAGGCAGCTGCCTACAGGAAAAGCCAGGGCACTGTGAACATGTGGTATTGTGCTCTGAGGTCTTTGCACCAAATGTGCACCTGACCTCCTCTGCGAAGCTTTTCTCAACCTTTCCAGGCAGAATTGAGGGGCTCTCCCTCCATACATATAGTCTGTGTTTTTGGCATTGTTCACCTGATGTTGTAATCACTGGGATAAGTGTGTGCCTTCTCTTCACACACTGAGCTCCTTGAGGATGCAGTTGTTCAACTGTGTATTCTCAAAGAATGCAGTAAATGCCTAGTATTGTCTGTTACAAGGACCCAGGTGGAGGCAGCAACTAAGTCAAAGCTTCTCTGCCCATTTCTGCCACCTACAAGCCTCATAAGAACTCCCTACAATAAGCCTCCACTGGTTTGGCAGAGCTGTTGTCATCTTCAGATATGGAAATTCCAAAGTGCCTTGTCGCCATCTAATAGGCTTTGTCACTTTGCCAGTCACAGAGAGCACGGCTGGTCAAATATGGGAGAAAGAGAGATGTCTGGAAGGCAAGCACATTTTTGGACCAATTATGAATTAGAATTAGCCAAGGGCTAAGATCTCACCTACTGCCTAGTGAGTAGCCTTTTCTGTTCCGTTAGTATGAGGCCAGACACACACACACACACACACACACACACACACTATACAGCACATACCACTTGGCTAAGACTTATTATCCTAGTTTCACTCAGTGCTTTGTTAAAATATGAATCTCCTTCAATGTTTTCTAACCACAGGCAGAACAAACTTGAATTCATCAACTTATAAATCAGTTGTGTCCCAAAAATTCACTCGTAAAGTAGCCATTTAGAACTCAGACTGAATAGAAAGAGGATTACACTGGAGTGGATGCCGCAAAAGCTCACTTAACCTGCAGGGTAGTAACAGGGCTTATGACTCGGGCCATAATAGATACATTGAAGATTTAGAAGACCTTTACAGGACTGGGCCACCTCGGAAGCCAAGGCACAGGCAGGTCAACCCACTGATTGCGTGGTGGGCAGCAGAGATGTCTAGTGTAACGACCTGGGTGGGGGGTAGAGCTCATGGTTCTCGCTGCAGACTCACCACAGGCAAACCTCACTAGGTAACCCTGAAAATCACCTTGCCTCTCTGGGTATCAAGGCCACCCTCTGTAAGACAGGAAGGCCTCCTCTGCCACTCGCCTCCCTCCAGGAAGACAGAAGAAAGCAACACAAGAAAACAGAAGAAAGTGAAACTCTATGGGAAAAGAAAAGAAAAGGGGCTGGGCTGGGAAGAAAGGGGCGGAAAGCAAGACACTCCCTCTTCCAGTCCAGAGGTGACCTCGAAGTATCGCTAGAGGGAATCTTTCCATTGCATCCTCTCTCTCAGATTATTAATCAAGGGACAGTTCTCAGTCCCACCCATCAAAGCCCCATGTGCCCCCTGCCCAGCAGCCACCATGGCCCACGTCCCCAGGACATACCCACAATCCACCCAGCAGATGGTGCCTTGTCCTTTCACCGCCTGGGCCACTGTGGACAGTAACCTGAGATGATTTTCAGCTGCTGCCTCTGCAAAAAAACAAAAAATTAAACACCTGTGCCCAAGAGCACTGGGCCACCTCTGCCATCTTCCCTCAGGGGTGAGGAACGATGGAGACTTCCTTCCTGCAAGAATACTCCCAGCCCTTCTCAGAAACCCCGGATCTCACCATCCTCAGTGGCCTTCCTCCTAGGCATAGAACCCCCAACTCACCCTGCCTTTAATCCACACCTCACACCTTACTCTTCCAAGAATCTCTCAGCCAGATCCTCAAGAAAGTCTCTGACTCATGCCTTTCTGGGATAAATTGTGAAAATTGCATAAACAATTACAATCCTATAATTAACATAAGTAACTATGTTGCTGACTCCACATTCACCTGTCCTGGTGCCCCACCTGGGAGCTGACGAGAGCCGGGATCAGATCCTTCCTTTACTTGTGCAGCACACAATCATCTAGGAGCTCAGTATAACCTGGTGATAAAATGAGGTCTATACGTGACACTAGGTTCTGATGAGTCAATGCCAAGGAAACCTAAGCCACATTTAACAGCCCACTTCCCCAGAAGCGATGGGGCAAGAGCTGGTCCTGGCAGCACCTCCAGGGGTCAGCTGCAGGAATATGGACCATATTGGGATAGGATGTAGTGATCGCAAAAGAGGAAGACTTTCTTACTGGTGCAAGTGTCAATCCTGACAGGTCAGGGCAAGGCACCCAGATACTTCTGTGAGAGGGCAGGGTCTTAGGGACAGAGCCTCTCTGGCCAGGACTTCAGCACTGCCAGCCTGCAGTGATCCACTGCAGAGTGGCTGTGGTCAGTGTTTGATTCTTGCGGCCAGCAGGCTCCTGAGTCACGTTCTCCTAGGTGACACCTGTGAGCTCACTTGAAAGGCCTGCCAGATAAACACTGGTGGGGAGAGTGATCTGCTGCTTTCTCCCGCCAAAAACCGTACGATATGTCCCCAAGCCAAGCAGAAGTGATGTCTGAATTATCTGCCTCCGCAGATCGCCTCTTCTAGTGTAGATAATGGTAGCCGTTTGTGAATACAGAGCATGCTGAGCCTTTCACAGAAGCAAACAAAAGTATCGCTCAAGAGACATGCACGGAGTCACTTGGAGGAGGCACTCCCAGGAAACCACAGCCAGGGTGACAGGAGGAGAGCGAGTCACTGAAGTAGAGAAAGCCATTGTTCCACAGCTCAGACTGGGTTCTGGGAAGCAGGGGAGGGGTAGGAACAAACTAGAACAAGATAAAGTACCCCCTGCCCTAACCCTGCCTTTCAGCCATGGAAAGGGAGGCGCTGCTTGGAAGGATTGGAGGGAACAAAGAAAACCCAGTTTCTGCACTGCTCAAAAACTCTACTGAAGGTCACATGTCTCGTGCAGCAGGCGTGGGCAAGGAGGCAGGAAGGTAAAAGAATTGCCCAGGCCCCACCGGGTGATGAAAGCAGGAAGTAGGCTGGCAAGTGGGAAGCACTGGCAAGTAGGGGATTTACTCTCAATAGCTCGAGACAGGGTCAGGTTAGGGAAAGAGAGCTCAGGTGCTACCTCCTGCCCTGCACGCTCCTGACAACAGACCTCACCTTTCCACTCTCTAACTTCCCATAATGATTTTCTGGCCTCAGCCCCATTCTGGTCTCCAACCCTTTCTGTCATTGCAGAATCAATACTCTCTTCCCATCCTCCATCCGGAGAAAATGAGAGGCAGCAAGGCACAGGGACCAGCTCCCCACTGCTGTTTGGAAATCTCAAATGAGTCTGCTACTCCCAGCTTCAGTTTCCTCATTTGTATACTGGATGTCCTCTGACAACCTGCACTGCTTCCCTCATGGCAAAGGAGCACAAGAGACTGTATTATGATGAGCTTATATGATGGGATCTACCCCAGAGAAGGAATGGAGAGTGTCTGTCACTGACAATCGCTCTAGCTCCAACTCCAGGAGTATCCAACGCAGCGAGCCACATGTTTTCAGGGCCCTATGCCCCAGGCCTCAAGAGGACACTGCTTCCCCTTTCCCTTGATTTCACCCCTATTCTTGACAGCCGAGAAATGCTAGTCACATGTGAGGCTCCCAACAACGCACTCAGTGCATATGTGCCAGACCCCCAGAAGGGGAAGCAGCCGCAAGTGGCAATGAACGCATCCCACATGCCAGGGATGCCTGGAGGATGCAGGCATGTCTGGAGCCTCTATCATCCCCCAGGTGCCAGTGAGTGCCGAGGCCAAGCTGCCGGGGAAAGCTGTGCCCGGAACTGGCCCAGCCACTGGCTGCTGCTTTTCCAGGGCCACAGAAAACTTGGCATCCTTAGAAGCAGCAAAAAAACACTTAACTCTGCTGGAACAACTTCAATAAAGTCGGCGTTCACCCTCCCCCAAAGTCACTGCCAAGAGCCAAGCAAACCTCTCTCCATCTGCTATGTCCTTGCCAGCCTCAAGGTCAAAAGAGAAGCAGGCCACTGCCGCTGCTCCTGTCCCCCAGAAGTGCTGTGTCCCAAGTTTAGAGCCCATTCCAAATTCAGTCTTGCATCTGACCCCAGAGCAGGACAGATGGGCCAGGCAGGGGCAGGGCTCCAGCTGGGGTGAGCGTTCCCAAGCCTTGGGCCCATTCAGCTGGCAACAGGCCGGCCTGGCCAGTTAATCAACAGCTCTGGCAAAGCATGCCCTGGCGGGACTCAGCCCCACGCCTGTACAAGAAGCCAGGATGTCCATTCCTAGTACCCGCCATTGTAATCCTCTGTCCTACTTCGCCCTCTCCGTCTTGAGGAGTGAGGGGCTTCAGAGGACTTTCCCAACAAACACTCCTAAAAAGAAGCAGAACCATTCCCTGGTATCAGAAAGCGGCATAGCTAATGCTCCTGTGTGCCTCGCCTCTGTCTTCTGAGGACAGCTGACAAACTCCATGTCCCTCGGACTCTCCCTGAGTGGCTTTTGTCCTAAGGTCTCCTGCCTCCCACTTCTGCCCCCCTCCTTCCCCTCTATCCTATCCTACCCTGACAGTTGACCTCAAGGCCAGGAAAGGACACTCACCAGATTTGGAGTAAAGCACCAGTACATTATTCCGGGTTCTGAGCAGTTTTTTCAAGTCCTTGGGGTCAGAGATTCTCTCAATGAGCGAGGAGACCTTTGCAGAGGACAACCACGAAGGCAGGACCACCTGGGGATCAAGGAGCCGATGACTGTAAGTTCCAGCTTCTGGCTGAGCCCCGGAAGAATCAGCACCCACGGATATGCTGCCTAGAGCTGCTTCACTTCCAGAGGATGAGGGCAAACCAGCACAACTCATGCACCACACCTACTTCACTCTAGGGACACTCCCCAGCCCACTCCCAATCTCCCTTCCCCTTCACGCACTTTTATAAGGCTGTATGGACTGCAGATATACACAGTCAGCCCTCTATCTTGCATGTTCCGCATCTGCAGGTTTGACCAATCATTGATAGAAAATATTTGAAAAACATAAAAAATAATAAGAGAACAATAAAAAATACCAACAAAAACAATACAGTATAATAGCTATTTACATAGCATTTATATTGTATTCTGTATCAAAAATAATCCAGAGATGATTTAAAGTATATAGGAAGCCATGCATAGATTAGACGCAAATACCGTGCCATTTTATATAAAGTACTTGAGCATACATGGGTTTTGGTACCCTGTGGAGGCAGGATGCTGGAACCAATCCCTCAAGGATATCAAGGGAGGCTTGTATAAACATTCTGCATTGTTACACATGTCAAGAGCCCCCTGGGAGGTCAATGTCTGTCTATATTCTTCATGTTACCCCAATGCCATATGCTGGGGCAATGTAAAAACTTCATCCCATCTAGAAGCACCAAAGCATAAAATACGCAGAGAAATAAAATCATCCTTTAATGCTTAGGGTGGGAATGGATGGGTGAGATGCTTTTAGCTTTTCTTACTCAGTCAAATGATCGCAGGAGGTCAGTCAGCAAGAAATATGCCAACTCTCCCCCAGAGAACCCTGGAAAACTTTGGGAACTGGAGGTACCAGGGACCTCTGCAGGCACAATGAAGGGTGGTCTAAAAGCAACTGGTGGGGGGTTATTAAACGTGTGAATAAGGAGTAGATACAAAGCAGATCCCCTTGTCCAGACTGCACAGCTGGGCAACAGCCCCTTGTCTACCGGGCAGAAGGCAAGAGGGTTACTATATGGAGAAATTGAGTAAGAAAGGTTCTACTGGGAGATAACCCAGCAGAGGGTGGGAGGATGGCCCTCAAAAAAGACAAGGAGATTCAGAGAAAGTCTACAAACTGAACCTTGAGATCACTCATTCTACCAAGCTCCCAGCCCCCAGTGTCTCCCTTCCCTTCTCCGGAATGCCACCTGCCAGTCTTATTCCCCAGGCAAGAGATTAGACAATTTTCCTCTGGGGAAACTGAGAAACATAAGAAAAACAAGCTAAAGGCAGCAATTTGAAGATCCTCAATTGAAACAGCTAAGTTCCTGCTCAAATCTCCACTGTGAGGCTCTCACAGTAAACAAGCCTTCTCCACTCCCTCCACACACTCACAGAGCTGCCAGTCTGTGTGCTAGTGCCTTGCTCTTCAAAACAGACAGATAATCAAGGTTCACCAGTTACAAAAGACAGAGACCAGAAAATACCAATGGAAAGATAAAATGTAGAAGAAAAAGAAAATTAAAAGAATAGAAGAAAACAAGAAAATTATTATTATCAGAGAAATAAAATAGTACATCCATAAAATAAGAATAGAATGTTATAAAGAAAAAGAAATACTCAAAGAGAATCACGAAAAACTATCACAGAAATAATTAGGGTTGGAAGTAGAATTGAAAAAAATCTAGAAAATACAATAAAAAGATCAATAAATTAAAAAGGACTTAAGAAAAATAACAGAATGAACCCATTAAGCACAAGAACCAAATTAAAGGAACTCTAAGAAAACAAAAAGAAAAAATCAAAAAATGAATTCAAAGCCTGCCACAGTGTCTCATGCCTGAAGTTCCAACTACTCAGAAGGCTGAAGCAGTAGAATCACTTGAGCCCAGGAATTCATGGCCAGCCTGGGCAACAGTGAGACCCAATCTTTAAAAAAAGCAAATAAATTTAAAATAATAATTCAAGAAAATGTCCCAAAACTGAAGGATATGAGTCTTCAGTTGTTAGCGCCCAGCATCATGAATAAAAATACTCTTAGCAAAATACATCACTGAAAATTTTCAGAATACTACTGACAAAGGGGAGATCCTAACCATTTCAAAGAAAAAAAAATACAACATACAAAAGATCAGGAATCAGAATCGGCGTAAGATTGTTTATCAGCACACAAAAGACAATGAAGTGCTGGCTTCACAATTCTCAAGGAAAACTATTTCTAACTGGAATTCTATAACCAGCCAAACTATCCATCAATCATGAAAATAGACTTACTTGAACAGACGAAAGATAAAAGATGTATAAAATTTACCACCAGTGTACCCTTTCTCAGAAAGATACTAGGATTCATTTTCCATAAAACAAAAAAATAAATGAAAAATTAGAGACACAGAAACTAGGAAACAAATAATTCAATGAAAGAGAAAGCAAGAGGATTACCACATTGATGGTAATGAGAAATCCCAGGATGACAACTGTTCAACAGCCTGCAGAGCAACCAGGCCAGAACAGAGAGAGGACAGAGCTCATGGAGGAATGTGGTCAATAAAAAGAGGCAACCATAGCTTATTTGATATGCTTGATCAAACTGAGAGGAGTTTTAATTTCTGTCAGAAAAAATTAAAAAAATAATAATCTGACCAAAATTCCATAGCTAATAAGTAGAGCCAGGATCTGAATCCCAGTCTTTCTAATATGCTGATGCCTTCTCAGCCGCCCCCCGCCACCTCTTTGCAGCCAGAATTCTTGAATTGAGTCTGAGCCACACCACTCGATAGCTAAGATGCCTAGCCAATGTCACTCAACCTTTTAGAGGCTTAGTGACTCCTGTCTGACACAGAGACAATGATACTTCCCTCATGGGATTGCTGTGAGGATGAAATGGGGTAATTTATTGAACGTGTTTTATAAATCAGGAAGCACTTTTAGAGTATCAGTTACCATAATATGTAACATAAACTTCCATCTCAGCAGAGAAGAAAACTGAAAGATGGCCATATTCTAGTGTTTCTAAATATAATCTGCCATTGGAATTCAAAGGTTCTCTCTTCCCAGGGTAAAATGAACCAGGAGGAAGTCAAGAAATGATTTCTCCCTCACTACATCCTGCAGAGCAGGGTAAAATGCCTGAGGACCCACTGCCCTTATGCAGGCCACCTTAAACGCTCCCCCAAAAAGTTTGCTAAATTTTATTATCATTACATGTTATCCCACTGCTCCCAGGCAGCTAATGGACTTCAGACTGAAAACTCCACAGCTCAATGCACATGATTAAAGGGGAAAAAAATAATCTGTTGGAAAAACACATTGCCTCACTGCTCTGTTTTTAATCCTCAGATAATCCGACCAGTGGAGAGCAACAACTGCCTCAGGACTTTGACCTGTAGCCCAGCACCTCCTGAGGCTGGTAGCCACCCACACTTCTGGAACTGGGGAGAGGGAAAAGGGAAGGCAGGAGGGAGAGTGAGCTGCTCACCTGCCCAGGCAGTGCTGCATGCAGCTGAGCCGCAGCGACAGCAAAGTGTCTACAAGAGAAACCACGAGAGCCTGGGGCTCACAGCACACCCTCAGCTTCCTTCCCATAAAACCCAGTCCATCCCTCAGATCATCTAAACAAGGTCCACTGAGATTAAACAAACCACTTTCCAGCCAGTGAGCCAAGCCCCGCACCCAGCGTTCAGCGTCATGCAGTAGAGAAGTTAAGCCCAACCGGAAACGGGCTGAGCAAATTTTCTTTGCTTGAAAACCATCACTGGGCATGATGCTGGGGCTCACACTGGGCATCACCTACAGCCAAGCCGGTTTTGAAGCCTTATGAAGGGTCCATCTCCTCCCTACCCTCACCCCCATTCCCAAGATTAAGAGCTCTGGAGGAGGCAGGGATCCCGCACAGGACCTGGCCCACTGAAAAGCCCTCAGGAAACGTTTACCCAGTATTACAAACATGACAAATTACACTTGTTACCACACTCCTGACCTTAGCAGAGGTCACCCACTATCAGCATGTGACGGGTGAGTCCACAGCAGCCCCTGGGAGGCCCAGAAGGGGTGAGGGAAACCAGACAGACCACAGCTCGGGGGGTGCGGTCTGGGCTAGAGCATGTCAGAAGGCAGAAGGGCAGGCTGGGCTCTTAAAAGCCTGCCCAAGGGCCTGGCCTGGTGCAAGAAGAAAGTGGGAAGCATCACTGCCCAGTTAGCAGGGGAGTGAAAGGATGAACACGGTATCGTTGAGACTCATCTGGCTGTGACTTCACACCGGGCAGCAGCCAGGGAGGAACAGAGGTGGAGGGCCCTGCTGGGTAGCTGCCAGAGTGGAGAGACATGGATCAATGCAAAAGCCTCGGAGGGAGAAACAACAAAACCCAATGACTATTCATAGGTAAGTGAGGAAGAAAGAGAAAAAAAGTCTAAAGCGACTCCCAGAATTCTGGGCTGGGAGGCTGGAACGACAGCCAAAGAAGGAAGAATGGAGAAGCAGCAGTGGAGGAGGCTTTTCTCTTATATTGAGGAAGATAATAAGCTCAGGTTTTGGACAGGTGGACAGGAAGGCATCAAATATAGGCATCCTCCAGGTTGCAGGGTGAGCCACCAAGCAAATGAAGTCTCCATAGGCCGGCCTCAGAGGGAGGAGACAGGAAACACCCTCAGTGAGGGAGGAGACGGGACCAAGAGGGAGGTGGGGAGGGCTGCATCCACAGAGACCAGGGAGGGGACACTTCTAAAGGAAAGGGAGTGATCCAGAGTGGGGAGGGGCTGGGAAACGGCCAAAGGCTGTGAAGTCCACGGGAACACTGGAGAGAATGTCCGTGGTACATGTGGCAGGAGCTGGAAGCCAGGCTGCAGAGAAGAGAAAGTCTACCCAGCGCAGGAGCTGGGGTGATAATCAGATGGTGTGAGGTGGTGCCACAGGGTCAGAAGAAGGATGGGTTGTGTCCCGTGAAGGTGCGGGAGTGTGGGTGTTAGTGCGCTAGGAGAAGCAGGGTTTGCCTAGAGTGGCAGGATCTGAGAACGAGA